ATAAGAGTGTATTCAATTTGGTGGGTTTCAGTGAATTCAGTATAAAGGTGTAATTATGATTTGATGGATCCAATAGTCCGATCCGTTTGATGAAATAAAATACCAAATCAACTTCATTGAAGCCTTATAACCCAAATTACCTAATGATTGAAGGAGCCCAAGCCCAAAGCTAAGTTTTTTTATTGGAAAATATAATAACGTCCTAATTACTTTTATGGAAAGAGTGATTCTGGAGTATTCCACGTTAAATTTCTGACTCAATGGATCGAAAAATATATAATTTTTTTACGGTTTTATATCGTGAAATTTGGAATATAATTTTGCCATTTGGAAAAAAATTAATCTAAACAAATTTAAAAAAATCTAAATTTACAAATAACTTTTCACATCTATGATTTAAATTCTAAATTTATTTTCTCAGAAACGTTCCACAATTAGCTTTCTGAAAATATTTTGAATTGATATTTTTAAAAGAAGTGTTATGAAATATTTTTGAAAAATTCATTTCAGAACATTTTCAAAAAAATTGGAAAAGGTCAATCTAAAATATTTTTAAAAAAATTATTTTAATTTTTTTTTTGAAAAAATAAATTCGAAACCTATTTACATTAAAGGTAATATTTTTTTTATATATATATAAATATAGGATGAAAAAGAAACTATGAGATATAGGAAAAATATGCCAGACTCATTTTCTTGAGGCCGAGTTTAGGAAATCGAACTAGGAGCCCAAATACATACGACTATGAGAGCAACTAAAACACATAAAACAGTAACATATTAATCAGCGTCCAGGTTTAAGTTATAAAGATTGTTATTTACACTTCTCAATTTTATTATTACATTTTTAGAGCCAAACTTATATAAGCAATAAAATCTATTTGAAAGCAATTACCGTGATTAAAAATGTACCAAACAAATTGCACAATTAAAAGAAATTAACATATGGTTCCTGACATTATATGGCACATGAAATAATTATTCTTTATATTAATTAATAAAAGAAAATGAAATCATTTACATAACAATTAGCGTAAAAAAATAATTGTATCTATAAGAGTATTTAAAAATAATTACAAAAATTAGTATATATTATATTTATCTATACAGAAGAGAATATATCGATCTTATGTGGTAAGATAATATTATTATAATATAAGATATTATTCATTTTAAAATTATAATTCATTATAATTTTATCCTTAAAATATATATCTTATTACCATGTCTCTCTTATTGTTTTGTTTATGATATTGTTCAAAAATTGGGACGGATCCTATAATTTATGTTACGAAAACAAAAATAATAATTCAATATTGGAGGAGTAAATTTGAGAATTGAAAAGAAATAAGAGGGAGCAAAAGTTGGTTAAACATAGAAGAAACACTCAAGACAGATAGATGAAGGGTTGGAAACGTAGTTAAAGATAGATATATTCTCGAGAGCAAGATGATTCATAATGACGATAGTGGCGGGTTCATCATCATCAAAATTGTGGGGTTGGTCTTGTTTGTCGTGGACAAAAGAACAACCTTAAATAAGAGACAAACTCATTATTTATGTGTTTGACTTAAACTTACTATGCTACTTCTTGGTTAGTTCTAAGTTAGGATTTGGAGCTCAGCTCTTCATAAATCTACTCTTTAAAACCTAGTGTTTCAAGTTTGTGACCCCAACCAACACCAACTGCCTATTGGTTGAATCCCGAGATATCCTTTTGGAAGCTTTAGGTTTGAATAAGTAAACAAACATGTTGGATGTCGACACAAAGTTGAATTGGGTTCAAATAATACGAAAGTTCAGACAAAGCCTAACTATTAAGATGAAGTTATGTTGGAGCTACATTCATAATTGTCAAAATTACTTTCTCAAATAAGCTTAAAGGTAAATGTAATCCTAGCTTAATGAATAAGGTGTCATATATGAAGAAAAAGAGTTTGAAATCATCTTCTTGGTCTCTACAGGAAAATTCATTGGGGTCACAAATTTGTAGTGCTAGATCTTTCTCACTGCCCGATCGACTAAAGTCTTGACTATCTTGCAAAACTTTAGTAATTTTAAGGTAGTGTAGCCTAATGTGTCATGTAATATCACTCTTTGCCCAAGGTACAAGGTCTCATCATTAACCTTTTCACTTTCTCTTTTTGCCATTTTCTTTTTTATGCTCTTCCAAGCTTAAGACCTAACCCATTAATGTGAAATGCACCAACAAAAGTGCAAAACACTAAGAGATGACTTAGAGCGTAAAGAAAAACAATTCACACAAAAATGACTAAGAAAATGAAGCCAAGCAATATGAACAATACATGTTAAGAGGCTTCCGAGATAAACTCAAGTTCATGAACAAAAATTACTCATCTTACAAGATACAAGGATGCAGAATAAAATGAAAAGGAGGAACAAAACAACAACAATCAAGCAAACATCTAAAATGCAGAACCAACACAAAGGGTTCATGAGAAGCAAACGTACCTAGAAGGGCGAAAGAAAATAGAATAACAAGAAAGCGCAAATGAACACCTAGAATTTTTTTCTAACAGCTTTTTAAGTAAATGTTTAGTGAGGATGAAAATGAGAGAAGTGTCGTAGTAAGGATAAAGCATGTTAGAAAAACTTTGAGGGAAACCACTATGAAGATGGGACGAGAGATGTGACTTTTGATGATGCGAAAAGTAATTAAATAACACATGTCATGACATTTGTCACCGAAAAATCAAAACATCAATTTGTCTCTTTTGGTTGTGTTTTCAAACCCAAATAATTTACATGATCAATATAATACGTTTGGGATTGAAGTGCTAAAAGTCTTGACATTATTGCTTCAACATAAGGGTTCTATGGCATTAAGAGTTTGACATCAAACCCGTATAGATGAGGTTCATTAATACTTTAATGACCTTAAGACAAAAGTTTAAGCCTTGATGTCTTTATCTCGAGATTAAAAAGTTGTACAGTGTTCAAATGAATTCGAACTTTTATTAACCATAGTGGTCGGTAAATGGACTAGTAGGAGGGCTTCTTGAAAGATAAGTGAGATTATGATCCCATAAAATTTTGTAGCTTATATGAACATTTATAATTTTGCGTCTCTCCCTAAAAAAAAACTAATGATCATTCAATTAATTATTTAAATATTTATATTTTGATCTTTTATATTTTTTATATTTATTTATTATTTATTAATGATATACTATTTGATATTTTTCAAAATCAATGACTCAAATCTATCATTAACAAAGGACCTTATCCATCAAAAAAGTTATAAGTTCAAAGTAGTTTTGTAGAGATCATATATAACCTTAAAATTAGTTTATAATTTACAACAAATATCAAAATAAAGAATTAAGGTATGGAGGGAGTTAACTCATGGACGGTTAATGATCACAAAACTCAGTAACTATCGAATAACTTAATAAATAAAATAGGTTTTTAGTTTTGATGAATAATCAAGAATATTAGATCTAAACATTCAAACCTTATAAAAGAAGAGAAAAAACAAAATGTTGATTATTTTTAATGTTAGTAACAACCTGAGTAAACTAATGTTGTAATTTGATGATATATGAATAATATAATAATTAAAAAACACTGATATTCTCTCTTTTTCAAAATTGTTTTAAGTAAAAAATTCTTTCTAAATATATGACATTTGAAAAGTTTAAGATTACATTAATTTTTTTTTATCAATTATATTCCTTTCTTTTATTTATTAAAAAGAGAAAAGAGATAAAAAATGACTTAAGAATATTTTAGCCGAATAAAATATTAAAAATGATGAGTATTAATATAAAAGGATTAACGAATTTGTTAAAAATAATAAAAAATAAAAATTATATTAAAAACAATAAGAATTAGTGATTATATTAGTTTGTGTAATATATCTTAAATATTATATATTTTGAAACAGAAATATAATTTAATTTTTACATAACTCTTATACATGTTTAATTAATAGAACTTATTATCTGCTATGTGTTTGTTGATCAGAGAAGATAATTATTTTTAATCAATAACGTTTATGATTTTATATATATTTTTATTAGAGCGTATTTTTAGCCAATTATATTATTCATAAGAAAATGTATATTTTTTGTTGAGAAAATTACTCAAGTAATATGCAGCATATATTTATTTGAATGCAAAATTTAAAATAGAATAATTTGCTTAATATATAATATAATAAATGTCATGAATGACTAAATAAATAAAAGTAAAAAAGTTTAATATGCAAAAAATTGAAAACCTGGGAGTGGGCCGAAGGAGGTATGTTATTAGGCTCTGGCAGAAAAGGCCGAAAGCCTTTTTTTTTTTTTAAATGCTAATTGTTATTTACGGTTCGAAAATATTTGAAATTTTATAATCCAAGTTGGAATGAAAAAGTGGGTTTCGATCTCCATCACAGATGAAAGTCCAAAATGGGCCAACAATTTGATGAAACCATTGAAGAAAGTTGAAACGAGACAGAGTTGAGGTTATAATATATATGATTGGTAGGTCCAATTTCCATTTAAAGAATGCGAGTTATTATTTACTTTTTTATTTTGTTTAATTTTTCTGTCATCATGCAGCTTCAGAACCAATTTTAATCGAACCTGTTGTAACTCAATTAAAAGTTCATTGCATTCGCTCAGAGAATGTCTTGGTACATCAGCATCAGAGTGACATGCAATATGAAAAGTGACGTTTCAATTATGCCATTTTTACACACCCATTATGCTTTTACTTTTCATCCATTGGAAGGCATGGAAATAGTCTCAGCCTGGGTTGGTATGAAGTATGGAAGATGAGAGATATTGACGAAAATGACCTTTAAAGACGTAGAGTACAAGTTCTGATGATAAAAAAGTGGTAAGAAAATAAGAAGGTTAAGGTTGGTGGCGGTGACGGATAGGGCATAGGTTAGGGTAGCTTAAAGAAAGGTAAAGAGGAGAATCTGTGCAGCAAACACCAGCATGTAAAACAATTCGCTGGTTCCCAGAATTTTAGGTTGGTTTCTTAAACTAGTCAACAACCCTGCAACCCAACAGGTGTTTTGGCTCATTAATCAATAACCTATTTCTGACCATATTAAACAATTTGGTGTAAATTATTTGTTCCTTGTACCTCTGTGACGCGCTTGGAGTTGCTGGTACCGTGTTTCGTGCTCCAACCACATGCTAATTACGCAACTCAGACATCTTGGGTTTTTAATTCCACACCATTCTGGATTATCTCCTTGTTTCCATTTGCCGTCTGTTCCAAAAATCACACAATCATACTACGTCTGCACAAACTCTCTGTCTTATTTTCATCGTTTAACAACTTCTTACATTAATCTTTAACCTACATACATACACGTTAATGCAGATACACCCACCACCATGCCCATCCATTCCTTTCAACGTGTAAATATTCAAAATAATGCCCTATCGTAACTTTACTATTTGAACTGAAGGATTTACGTTATGTATTTACATGATAATAAAATTATACACACTCACAGTACCACAATGTACATGTGAGGAACACAGAGAATGTACTGTAATTAATGCAGGATTTTTTGTGGAAATATAATTCAAGAATTCGCTTCAAAAATTTTATTTGTTTTGACATCGGATTATCTTCATATAAAATAATCTTATATTTTGTAAATTTTATATTAATTATTCAAATAGGAGTTGAAGTTTTACATTATATATAGATAGATATATGAATAGGTAAGTTAAACAATATATAAATAAAAAAACTATAAATATATTAATTATCTTACTTTAAAATTTTTATTCTTTCAAAATTTAAACTATTTATACTCTCAAATAAGTTAGTTACTTTCATTTCATATTTATATACTAGCTTCCAAAGAAATAGTTCATTATTTCTCTTTAGATTAAATAAATTACATATTAATTATGCTTATAGTTTTAAATAATTTTCAATTTTATTTACTTTGAAAATACATCAATACTTGTAAAGATACATGTATAAACTATATATTCACACGCGCAAATCATTGAACTAGAATTGAGCATTTATTTATCATAGAAGATCGAAGTACCGAACGAATCATTGCATGTGATGTGATTTGTAATTTGAAACTCCTAACATATGTTTTCATGACCAATAAGCTCATACGATCTTTAAAATGGATTTGCAATACCTAACCTATATATACTTGTTTTTGTTAATTTGGATTCTATATAATTATCTTTTATTCAAAACTCACCATTCAACATATAAGACTTCATTCTTTTTTTTTTAAGAAAAAAAAATCAGAAATTAAAAGGAAGAGTTGATGCAATGGTAGTAGCATAATATGAAATTGGTGAGCTCAGTACGGACAATAATTCCGTGAGCACCTAGTCAAATAAGAAAAGAATTAAAATAGTATTTAGTGATCTAGTAGTTGTACATGTAGCATAAAACTATAGCTATATTCTAGCATCCACATATCTTAATGTGCCTTATTGTTCTATAGTTAAGCAGTCATGGAACCACTTAATCTACATTTTTTCTGATACATTCAAAGGAATGCCAGTTGGGTTTGGATTTTTCTTCATTACATTAATCATTTTACACTCCAATATATCAGATATTGCCAGGGGAACTATAATAAACAATGATGGAATATTAGAATGGTAATAAATAAATACTATGGTGTTATAAATATTCCCCAGAAGGGAGACCCAAGAAAACAAGGGAAGAAATGTCTATCGATATGTGGTCAAATGGTTAATTAATAGTTTTTCACCGTGTGAAACATGAATATCATAAATACTAACAACCCTTTAGGATATTCAATTTCCATCACATTTCATCCTTTTCAACTCGTAAATACTAACAACCCTCTAACTTTAAATTGGGATTGGTATATCCCACTCTCAAATCACTCTTTATGCTTAAGAGAATAGACAAGGGAATGAGGAGATTTTCATTGGCGGCAATGATTAGATGAAGCCAATGATGAGACTCTATTATTTATCACGGCAAAGGACAAACATCTTAGATTAGATAGTGGTAAAAGGCAAGGAAATGTTAACGTCTAATTAAGAATGGAAACAATGTTTTGTTTTTGTCAATGGTGAGTATAATTCTTTGCAAGCATCGTACATAAAGAAGATAATCAAACACAATGGAGTGGGTGAAAGACAGAAAGAGAAACTTCTCTTTCCTATAATGTTTGTCAAGAACCTCTAAGGAATTGATCTTATGTTTTGCAAAATGATGAATCAAATGGAGGTATCAGTACGCGATCATGATGTTGATCATGTTCACTTCCCAGAATTTCAAGAGGATAAAAAAAATTAGAATGAGCTTTATTTGACAACAAATGCAGTTATTAGTGCGATTTATTAATAATTTGTATAAAATAGGAAGAAGGAGTTTTGGTATAAAATAGATAGAAAGTTTATAATATACTTTCATTCGTTAACAACATTCAAACCAGAAGATTATACTATAATGGAACTTTACATATTTACTGCTTACATGAAATGTTAAAAAATGTATAAAAATAATAGTAAAAAAGGGAAAGAGAGAGAGGAGAATGGTGTGTGTTGATGGAGGATGATTACAGAATGGCCCTTTCTGATGTGTGGTCACATGGATTCCTCTGAACTCTGGAGCTTGTCCTATGCCTGTGCTAAGCTGTTTGTTTGCTGTTCTTTATTTTCCTTTTTCCCCCCCTCTTTTCTTCTGTTTATGGATCTTTCTCCCAATCTCTCACTCATCACCACCACCTTTTCCTCATCTTTCTCTTTTTCATGTCCCAATACCCGACCACATTATTACCAAATCAAACCACACACACTCACAATTTTATACTCTATCCCCATCCATTATAAAAACACTCCTCAATACTCTTTTATCTTTTACTTTTTATCACATTACATTTTTATTTTAAAACTTGTTTGTACAGCAGCAACTCCAGAACTCTGAAAGGACCACCTTGTCCCTCTGTTTGACCAAATGTTTGGATCTTGACCAAGGACATGACCGTCTTCGCACTGGAACCCTGTAATGTTCACCAATTAGGTGTCTCTGTTTGTAGTGTAGCTTTCCTCTACGTCTTGGCTTCTTTGCAACAACCACTTTTGTTCTTTCACAAATGACATTCAATTATTGGATTTTATGTTATGTTCAAGCATCGGCTGCATATGCTTTTTCATTTTTTTTTTCCTTTTCATATGGTGGAATTGCGGATAAGATTACGTTATTCACGAAAGAGATTGAAGTTTCACATTTTATATGATATTCTAACAATCATCCATATACTCCAGCGTTCCAAAATTTTATTTCCCTCTTCTAAAACGAAAAATTATGTGAAATATAGGACAGATGAATAACACGACAGCATAAAATGTTTGAAAAAATAAAAAACATTTGAATGCAGAGCTGGCACGGGGTAACCATTTGTATAACTTTTTAGGTAATTATTGTTATTAGAATTATGACGTAGTTATTTTGTGGACATTAACTAGTAATAGATGGGCATTATGATTGGAAATAAAGGAATAAAGAAAGCGCGAAGAGAATCTGTGTGTGTAGCTAATTGAGTTTACGCGATCAAGGAAGTGGTCTAGAACAGCAATGAAACCTCACGTGCAGGGTGCTGTAGCTTTTTGTTTGTTTGAATAATCGTATTGAAAAGGTAGCAAGCTTTCTTGGTAATGCGTTGATAAAAGGGGGAGTTTGTTTGGTCCATTGGGAATGTAGTGCATCTTCTTCTTCTTCTTCTTCTTCTTCCACCTCTCTCTTTTCCCACTTCTCTTCTAATAATTAACCTCCCTCTCTCCACTTTCCCTTGTAGCTTCCAAAAACCTTCTCCTCTCTCTCTCTCTCTTATCTCCCGCAAAAGTATTGTGTTCGTGACTTCGTGTCTCCTTTGCCAGCTACAGGGAAAACTTCTTGTGAGAAACTCACGAATAATGGCACTAGAGGCTGTGGTTTTTCCACAAGATCCGTTTCCGTATGCTTGCAAGGATTACTTTTACTCCTTAGTAGGAGCAACACCCAACTTTGGTTATCAAGCTGCAGAAGAAGAGAAAGTCCTACTAGGAATCATCAACAACAACATAGAACACAATCTTCATGCAAACTGGGATTCTTCTTCTACCTACGTCTTGCAACATGTCAAGGAACAATGGGATGATTCTCACTCCTCCCCTGAAGCCTGCACCGTGGATCAATCCATGATTCCTCCCCCTTCTTCCTCCGTGGAAGTCACCGCGAGCAACATAACACGCCGCAAACGACGTCGTGCCAGGAGCGCCAAGAACAAAGAGGAAATCGAAAACCAGAGGATGACCCACATTGCAGTCGAACGCAACCGCAGAAAGCAGATGAACGAGTACTTAGCTGTACTCCGATCCTTGATGCCTTCTTCTTATGTTCAAAGGGTAAGTTAAATTTGTGATTTTTTATTTTTTTTCTTATTGAGCAATGAGTTAATTTGGTGGTAATGCGTGTGGTTACTTAAACAGGGTGACCAAGCGTCGATCATTGGAGGAGCGATTAACTTTGTGAAGGAGTTAGAGCAGGTTTTGCAGTCAATGGAGGGTGGAAAGAGAACGAAGCAAGGACAAGAGAATGATGGGTTATCAAATGGGTCGACACCACCATTCGCTGAGTTCTTCACCTTTCCTCAATACACGACACGTGGAACGCAGAAGCAGGAGCAGAAACAGCGGGGCGTAGCAGACATTGAAGTGACCATGGTCGATAGTCATGCCAACCTAAAGATTCTCTCAAAGAAACAACCCGGCCATCTTATGAAGATCGTTGTTGGCCTTCAAAGTCTCAGACTTGGCATTCTCCACCTCAATGTTACCACTCTCCACAACATGGTCCTTTTCTCAATTAGCGTTAAGGTTCGTACTAAAACAACACTTTTTCTTTTTTATTTTGTTCTTCCATTTTCTTAATTTTCTTTGCGACTGAGTTTTTTCTTTTTGGATTGATTGGAACAGGTAGAAGAGGGGTGTGAGCTGAACACGGTGGATGAAATAGCGGGTGCAGTGAATCAACTATTACGCACAATCGAAGAAGTTACATTGAACTGAGTTAAAGTAGAAAGAGTTAATTTTGTTTTAATTGATTTAAATAGATTTTCTATCCTTCTCTTGGGTTGAGTAATTAGGGATATATGTGATTGTGTCCATTGCAACGTGAGAGGGGGTTAACAATGTTGGTGTTTCTTTTTCTTTTTCTTTTTCCTTTTTACCGCGGTTGAAATGCGTAAGGCTGTATGTAAATCCAACAACTGCCAAACAAGTTTCAGTGAAATACAAGTCCATTTCAATAAGCTGGGAGTTCAACCTTTACATGTACTTATTATATACTCTTAGTATTGTGTCATTATAATGCACCAATCCTTCTTTCTTTTCTTTCTTTCATAAATTAATATCATTATCTCTCATCTAAAACTCACTTCTCCCACGGATTCTATGCCCTATGCTTTACGTCAGATTCTATAAAAGAAACTAACAGGTCAAAAAATAAATTAAAATTAAAATGATTTCGTTACAAAATTAAACAAAATAGATGAATAAAAATATTTACAAACATTACTTTATTTTCATCCAGCAGAACAGGTGACAATATTTTTAATTTTCCTGTTTTCATTTTTTTTTTCACATTTCGTACTACTAAACAGCGCATTAGGATAGAGACAAAAATAAAAAATAAAAAAATCCCTAATGTGTAAAAATGGTAACTTTTGCACTCGGTTCACTTTTATCAATAACACATCAAAGCTTCATGATTTCCCTTATGGGTAATTTTGGACCAATATCCATGTTTTTTTAAAGGATTTTGATGTTTCATACATCCTTTATTTCAATTTTACTTCTTATTTATTTATTTTCTTAATTTTTTTTACCATATCTCTTATTTTCTTCCATTGGCTTCATATATTTGTTTACTTTTTGAGGTAAAATACATAATATACATAAAACAAATACCTTTAATAAATATTTAAGGATAATATTACGGGTAATTTTTAGCTACCATTTGTGAATGAGAGAAGTGCAAATATCATGGTATTTATATTTATGAATACCTGTTACCCATTAATTGTTAGTTGTTTTTATTTGATTTTTGATAGTATAAGAAACAAATTATTAATAATTGAATAATTATTTAAAATTTATTTTTAAATTTATGTTTTTCATTTAAATTTAAGAAACTAAAATTATTTCAAAAAGATAAATTCAAATTTAATTTAAACTTATATTCTATTGTGTAATTTATTTAAGTTTATTTTTTATAATGATTAATTTTATTTGTACTAATATTTTGTAGTATAATTTTATTCAGATCATATTTAAAAAAAAATCATAAATATATACAATTATAAAATAATCTCCAAATATTTTTTAAACATCTACATCAACCAGTAACAAAAACAAGTGATAAATATTTCTAATATATAATATTTTGTTTTTCTCCATTTATTTAATATCTTGCTACTAGTAGGCATCAAGATATTAAATAAATTTTTTAACCTAAATACAATAACAGTTTACATAAACTTTAATCATCTAAAATTGTTAAGTACATTGTTATATTTATCATTTAATTAGTTATTTTTAATATTATGAATTTCATAGATTTAAAGGATTAAAAAGTACAGAAAAAGACATTTATTTAACAAATAAAACAATCAAAACATTAACAAATGAATAACATGAAAAGGGAAAAGACTTTCCAAGCATTTCAAAATAAATTATTTCACAAGAAATAGACAATATTTAAAGGAATATAAAAATATTCAAAGCATATATACGTTTGATAATGACTTTTTTTTTTTTTCCTTTTCTGCTAATTATACTACTTTTTACATTTCATCATTTAAATAAAAGCCATGATAGACATCTTTGATTACTCCCCATTGTAATTTGGAGTTAAAAGTCTACTATGAATGACATAAAGAAGGTGTAAAGGAAAATCTGGTGATAATTAAAATCTTCTTTATCTCTTTTTTATTAATTATCTTATCATATATATATTTTCTAATGCATTTATTGCTTTTCTCTTGTATTTTTTTTTTCCTCTAATATGCCACATTTCCAGGGATACAATTAATTTCTATCGTGCATTTACTTGGAAAAGGACAAGAAGGAAAATAGAGACGAAATAAGATTCAGATCTACATTGGGTTATTATAATTTTCTAAACAATAAGTACCCTGCAAAATCATCACAAATAGTTGAAAACCTTCAACTTTAGTGATTCATTAAATGAAATGGTAATTATAAATACACCTTCCTTATTGTCTTTCACGTGTGAATATTCTTTTAACATCTTTTCCGTTGTCTGCTTCAGAATCATGCCATTCTTTGGAATTGTTAAAAACAGAATGGGAAGGTTGTGTTGTGTGCTTTGAACAATAGTACAAAATAATTACCTTTTTCTTCTTCAACTTCCCTTTACATCATGTGAAAGTAATAGGACATACCCATCATCCAAACACAGCTTTCCCCAAGATTCAACGTTTATGATCATTCTCTTGCTTTTAGTTTAGTACCATCCAACCTAAAGTTTCAACACCTATATATACACAGGTCAGAAAAAATATTCATCTTTATCGTTCAATAGCATTTTTAGTTTAGGGTTCGAAACTAATGAATCGTTTATGATTACATATGAATTATTGAGATTATTTTAGCTAAATCTATTATTAATTATCTATTTTTAATGTATGACCAAAATTTACTACTTCCATACATGTTCTCGTCTCTCACCTCATTTGGGTAGACATGCATGAATCGTTCCAAAAAATCTTCATACTTTTAACTTTGGAGTTCGTACCTTCAATTCGTCATCCACTTTCCTCCTCCTCCACACACACACATACACTCAAATAGATAAGTTCATAGCTTCACACTCGCTATGTCATATATCACGAATCAGGACACGTTTTATTCACTGTCATCTTTAAAGCAAAAAACTACATGTCAGTGCAGCAGTACTTTTGGTTCGAATTAACATGCAAACTTTAGCGACCGATTCATTATCCGTCACACGTTAAACTAATACAGGAATGGTAGCTATAGATTATCAGTTCATAATTTATTTAAAACATTGCAATTTGGTGGGAAATTAAATGGGCATATATGTGAGAAATAGGGTTCCAAAATTTGACAGAAAAAACCAAAATTTCTTGCTTAATAGTTTACCAATGATGAGCGTTTCTGAAAGGTGGATTGGTATTTGAACGTGAAGGTAGACGTCAATTTCCACAAATTAAGATTTCGGATCGTTTTCTTTCGTTTTCAGTGTGATATACAATGTGCTCCTATGTGCCCATAGATACATAAAGCTAGAACTAGAACACTGTGCATTATGTAATGCTAATGTGACATGCAGAGAATGTGTCCTCGATTGCTTCCAAGGACAAATCATGGTCAACAAGTCAGAAGAGGATCATCTATACAAAATCATATTTATATTCATTCTTTGTGGTAAATCTTGTTATGTGTATTGTCTTTACGTTCTTCATACACATGCTTGGTGCACCAGAAACCACACGTGTGAAATGATGATGTTTATGGGCAAATTAAAAATGTTTCACATCCAAGTCATGAATGATCCATTATATTTTGTTGTCACTTTAGGGAAAAAGGAAAGAGCTATAAAGGTAGACCTAGCTTGCCTTAAGAAGCTTTCCAAAAGGCATAGAAATATTTTGTTGTCTCATTAATTATCCATTCCAATTCAATAATACACCACACCATTTCCTAATTCAAGCTTATCAGTGCTCTACTGTTAACACATTTCTAAACGCTCTTTATATATATAATTTCTCCACTAGTGTCTGGATCAAAATTTTAATAAAAAGTAAGATGTGATTGTGCTGTAGGCACGTGTGAAACACTGTAGTTGTTGTTGGTCCTGCAAGATTCTTCACGTTGAAGATGGAGGTAAGGACAGGTTTTGTGACTTAACATGAAAGAAGTTTCCCAAAGGAAATGATGCAAGTTCCAAATCATTGAGATTTTGAAAAGGAGAACATGCTCCAGGGAATGTATAGTACCATATCCCCAACTTTTTATTTTCTTCTATCTTCCTTCTGAAATGACATAAAGTAAATTCTTTTTTATAGTACAAAGTGTAAAAATTAAATAAACTTCATCATCCAATGTAATAATAAGTTATTCAAAATAGTTCTCTCTTCAAAATATTTCTATAACATTCACTTTATCTCATGAGAGTGAAAACGAGTCACATATACAACCTAACTACAATGACAACAAGACACGACCAATAAAGAATATTCAAAATAGAACTATGCACTCTATTGATCATCTTGTTTCTAACAATTATTGGAAGATAAAATTTAGGGGAGTGGGGTTATGTAAAATAACTAAAATATTGTGTGTATTTTTAACTTTCACATGCATTTTTATGCTTAAAGATAAAGTTACAAAAAAGTGTTGGACTCCTTTTAAAAAAGTTCATGTGAAAAATAAACAAGAATTGCCTTATTTCAAAGATTCTATATGTTGAGAGAGGGAAATGCAACAATTAGGAGAGCAAAATTGAAAAAAATAACAATTTTAAGAGATATAACCCAAAGATATTATTTTTGGATGAGGTAACAAGAGTTTTGGATGTGCAATTAGAAAAATTGTGTATGTGTGTTAGAACACCTTCACGGGCCTATTTTGTAGGCCTTATTTCCATATTAGGATCTGTTACATTATTTCATAAACAAATAATTTGGTGGGTGCAAAGAGAAAAATAATATACCTACCTACAACAATCAAAACAAGTACACCTTGTCACAAATTGAAGAAATAAAACCCTCCTATTTACACTGACCTTTTTTCCCCATATACACGCTCATTTGTAAGTTCTACAAATATTTATGAATTCATAAAACAGTGTATTAAATGAATAGAAAATATATATAATTAAAATTAATTATGTTTAGTTTACTAAATTTATTTTCTTTGAAATTTTATATAATCAATTTTGATACAAATTTCATAAAATATTTTCAAACAACAACTTCATAAATAGATATTCAGTTTATTAATATTTAAATTTTGAGCTTAATTTCTTATACTAAAATTTTATTTACTTATAATTAGTTAATATATTTACAACAAAATAATATTTTATTCTATATTTTTCACAGACAAATTTTATTTAAAACAACTAAATTCTTTATAAAATCTGTATACATTCACTTGAGTAAAATAAATAATTTATATCAATATTTCTCAATCCTAAAGAATCTTGATATTTATTTTTTAAATATCTCCGTAGATAAACTGTTAGCATAATTATTTCGTACATTACACACATCTATTTCAACAATGATTATAGAACTGATCATAATCAAAGATTTTAAAATTAAAAAAGAAGATTATTTGTGTTTTATTATAAGCCAATTATCTAAAATAATTAGCTATAAAAAATTAAAAAAATGAAACGTAATCAATCAATACTGGGGTTAGATTTGATTTTATCTAAAATTCCATCCAATCAAAACAATAAATTATAAAATTACTTTTAGTAGATTAATAAATGCATGTGATCTACAATACCATTAGTCAAAGATAGTAAACAATTAGTTACCTATAAATAGGGGTGTAAATATGGGTTCTAACCAGTGAGCCAACCCGAGCTCACCACGGGTTCGAGCGGGTTAGGTTGGATTTTTTTATTTCTATCGATTATGGGCTAAAAATGAACCGGCTCACTTAACCCACGGGTTAAACGGGTTCGAGCCGGGTTATGGTGGGTTGGCCCGTAATCCACCATTAATTTTAAATTTTAAAAATAATTATAATATATATTAACCTTAATTAATAATTATATTTTAAATTTTAAAAACAATTATAATACTTTAGTAACCCTAAATGTTATCCTGCCTCATCTTTATCCTATATTGTCATTGCTGCCACAACAAGTCAAACCCTATCGAGCAACACTACGTTTGTCGTCTGCACTTATCTTATCATATGTTCATCTTCATCAGTATCACTACATCACCGTACCCATTGTAGCATCTATACATTATTTGTTGTTTATTATTGATTTATACGTATATCTCTTTAATATATGAATTTTTGACTTCTTTCTTTCAAATTAATTTACGAGTATGGAATCGAAACAATGCATCAAAGTGTCAATGTGAATTGTGTTGGTGATGATTTTATTGTTAATGAAAAACCCAATGAGCCAATTTCAGTTAATAATGAAGATACTGATGTTGAGAAAAAAGGAAAAAAACAAAAGTTTCTACATCCGAAGTTTGGAAATATATATATATATATATATATATATATATGTATATATTTATATTATTTAAAAAAAATATGGGTTAGTGAGCTAACCCACCTAACCCACCAACCCGTGGTGGGTTGGCAGGGTTAGTAAAATTTCGACTCACCAAAAAGTGAGCCGGGTTGAGCTCATCTATTTTCAGCTCAACCCGTGGTGAGCCAACCCGCACTTTGACACCCCTACCTATAAAGAGTATTATAACATATACAATTTATGAAGCGTTGAAAATTCATGTCATTACCACATACGAGTAATACAAAAATTTGCATAAAGTGCGTATATTATTACATTAATAAATTTTTTCACTTCAATTTTTTACATTATGTTTCACATTAATACTATTTAGCTTTTGAATAATTCCATAAAGCTTAAATAATTTTATTTTAGAATTTATAATGATAAATCATTTTAGTCATAATTTTTTTAAAAATAAAATCTAATACAAATTGTGCTAATTTGAAATAAATGAAACAAAAAGGTGGTGTATGTAGGAAAACGAGAGTGCAAATAACATGAGTAATGAAAAAATAAAATAAGACACTTGTAATGATATATGGACCACCAAAAAAGCTGCATATGTGGAACGCAATCGTAACGGCTAGCCCATTCAAATTAAATCTTAAAGAATCAATTTTTATTTGATTTGATTTTTCCAACCAAAAGCGAGGTTAAGCCTCGCTTCGCCCCTGCTTCACATCGTTCACCGATTCACCCTATAAAGTTTCAAGGATTCGCTGTTTTTCTCTAATCTTTTCAATCATTCTCAATTCTTGCTTTGATTAAGTTTGATCAATTGCGCCAATGGATATCCCTCCACCAGTGGACGACTACATTAAACAAACCATCGACAATTCTTTAGGGATTCCGGTACCATTGGAAACCCTAGAGGCCAAGCTCCGAGCCTCCCAAGACTCGCAGTGCCGCCTCCGCGAACGCATCCTTTTCCTTCAACCCCAACTGAAGCGCAAAGACCAACTCATCGGGCGCTTCAAGGTTTCGCGGCTGTTCTTGATTTTCTTTACGATCTTTCTCTCGTCTTTTTTTTTTTTTTTTTTTTTTTTGGAAATTGATGATGGGAATTCTGGGCTTTTGTATTCGGTTATGTTTTGTTGGAGCAGTCTGAAGCGATTATGAACGCGCGAGCTCTGAAGAAGTTCGTGGAAGAGAATCAGAGACTGGCGGTGGAGTGTGATAAATTGGTAGCTCAACGCTGTCACTTGGAGAATGAGTGCGCGCTATATGATAAGGACAGAGAAGCGTTAATGGAATTTGGGAACGATGCAGATGAGCGGGCACGGGAGGCGCAATCCGAAGTTCTCGATTTGCAACGGGATTTGCTCTTTATGCAGAATGAATTGGAGAAATATAAGCATCATGATCAACTGGTTAACCATTTTTAGCCACCCTTTTTTAACAGTTCAGATATATGCCTTTGCTTCTAAGTTCTAATTAGTGGGTTGTATTTTTAATGAGGAGAATATTGCAATGTTAGTTATGGGGGATTTGAAGGGATTTTAGTGTAATTGTAAAGGCTTCATTTTTTATTTATTTTTTCAGTTTAACGGTTCAGAAAGTATATTTTGGTGGATTAGTTGTTAAAATTGAACATTTTAGTGGTCTCTCGCTTTGGGTTTATGGGAGTAGACTAATTATTGATGGTATCTTCGAATGTGCTTCTAGGAGGGACTTTGGAAATAGTTCACCCACCATAAGTTGGAGTTGCTGATATGGTGTGTTTTTGTTTCAAATCTGTAGCTGCATTGACTTTAGTATTAAATGAGTTTCATCTTAGTTAGTAATGATTTAATTTTGGTTTCCATTGGTAGCCTGACATTACGATGCTGTTAACTCAAACATATATGATTGAATTTTGGCAGCTTTTAAACTGACAACTTACTACTAGCTAGTGATCTTCCTTTTCACCTATCTATATTAATGAACTCCTTATACCACTAAGGGTTTGTTTGGATAAACTTGCCTGCAAGCACTTATAAAAGAAAACATACGAAGGAAATAGCCGTAAGTTAAAATTAGCTTATGTTAGATAATTTGTGAAAGTTATCTTATATATAGCTTGTCCAAAAACTTATTTTTTAACTTTTGCTTCGGTTAATTTTAGCTTATGGATAATTATCTTGTGTTTTTTTTTCCTATAAGTATATATGAAGAAGTTTGTTCAAACATATCATAAATTTTATTATTTTCCAAACTTCCATTTCAACGCATGTCTTTTTCCTTTATTCATGAAATGGTAATAGCTTTAGCAAGTTTTAGTTCCTTAAGTTGTCAATGCTGACCCCCAGATATTTTCCTTTTCCATGAAGGTTAATTTTTCTGCATGCGCCCCTGGGGAAAATAATTTACTTGGTTCTGTTTTGGCGTCACTTATAAGTAGAGATGATGATTCTACATATGCATTTTTGCAAGCAAACAGTGAGAATGAGTCCTGTAAGCAGTTGCTGAGTGTGTGGAACAGGTGAGTCTGCAACCTCCCCTCATTCTCTTCTCCTGTTTCTTTCTTTTTCCTTTTACTCTCTCCAGACACAATTTTAACTGCCATACTATTCCCTATAAAAGTAATTTAACTCTTGTAACCAAAAGTTTATTTCTACTCACATTGCCTTCTCGTTTTTATTTGTCAATTCGTTTTTACAAGTCTAATTTTTGTATTTTTAATTTGGTAGCTTGAGCCCATCTGCTCGATGTATTTTGTCACTTATTGACAAAGTCAAGTCACTTGAGAAGGATAAGGAGCATCTGAGAACTAACCTTCACAAAGCCGAGGAGGAGGTAAACTTTGATTGGTCCCGAATATTTTGGACCATTTCATTTCGTTTTGGATGGTTTGATTATCATGGATCAATATCTAACTAAGCATGATCTGTCTAGGCCAAAGTACTGTTTGATGAAAATAATGTATTGGAAAAGGAGAACAGAAGGTTATTGAAGCTATACAGGGAAAGGAACCATCCTGATTCTGATGGGAAACATACCAACAGTCCATCAGCTAGGGTGAGTTATTTTTAAGGTTTAAAAGAAAAATCAAGTACTGTATTCTTACAGCATATGTGCATTGCCAGTTCAAATTCATTTCTTTTATTTTTCATTTCTGGTGATAATGTAACTGTCTAGGTTGCCTAATATTTATTTTTATTCGGCTTTTGTAGTCAAACAAGAGAAAGTCCAATAGTCCCAGGACGAGTAGCCCAACGAGGAAGTTGGATTTTGACGATCAAGATTTAGCAAGACAACCTTTATCTCCCTTACGACACAACTCCCCGGACTGTAGAATGAGTAAGAAGTAAAGTGATTGACTGTTAGAGTTTGGTTTGACGTTCAAGACTGTAGAAATAGAAACTGTCGGACACATCCCTTAAGCTCAATGATGATTTGGATTCTGGTGCCTTGGAATGTTTAAACGATAAGACAAAAACCCATTAATGGAGAATGAGTTTGCGTCATGTATAAAGTTACAGCATTGTTTCTGATTTAGCGATGGATTGAGTAATCACAGTAGCATTCGTATTTGTTGCACATAATAATCACAATTTCCTATTTTATAATTTTAAGTGAGATATTATTTATAAATAAAATAGATTCTTACAAAATTTAACGTACTGAAGCCAGCCTATTCTGACATTTTAAAGTATATTTCATTTGATTTTTTATGTTTCTGGAATTAAAGAGCGATCAAGAGATAGCATTGTGCAAAAGAATGTAAAATAGACTTGTTTCAAAATTGAATTGAACTATTTTGAGAAGATGAAAAAAACTTGAATAAAACTATTTGATGAAAGCGAGATGGTTTGAAATCCCAAAGTTATTAGGTTTTGAAAACTCTCAATCACAAGCAGATGAGAAAAGGATGACTGGAAAAAGAAAATGCATTTTGTGAAAAATCATTTACTCTATAAAAAATGTTTAGTAATACATTAAAGTTGTTTTTTATTTTTGTTAAGTCTAAACTAACTATTTGTAGTCCTGTATAATGTATTTTTTGGATTTGTTGTGTTCTGGGTCAAGTAAGTCATGCAGGGATCTTGTTTTCATGATTCGCAAATGGTCGCCAAGAATTAAAAATACATAAAAAACATACTTTATCAACTCTAACATTCACAAAGGTAAAAACACTGAAAGAAACAAGAAAAATTGAAATGTTTCAAGGCTTTAACATTAAAATATTATAGGGTTTTCTAATTTATTTAATTTTATTTAATTTTATTACTTTTAACATCAAAATTGTTGTTAGTATTGACAATTTACATGATATTTGAGGACGAGACAAAGGAATAAAGTGTTCTAAAGTATATTTGTCCATTACATATTTAGTAGGGTTCAGATATCAATTCATTACATTTGATAACTCTGAACGTCATCGTATATATTCATCCTAAATCGATTTGTTTATTTAATAAAAACATTCGATTTAATAAAAAAAAATTTCTTTGGTCATCTCGGTTTTTTACTGGATCACAAATTAACGACCACCAGTTTATATGATAAATTTTTTATAATAAAGTCATTTTTAACCCAAAACTTAACTTGGTTTTATTTTAGATTATTAGGTCTAGTTAAAAAAAACAAATTATTAATTTGAAGTTTTATTCTTAATTTTTTTATTGTTTATTTTTCATAGATATGAATAAGATAGTAAAATAGGATATAGGTCTCACAAATAAACGATAGGATAAGATAATAATTTTAGTCTACCGTTTATTTTATTTTATCTTGCTTAACGGAAGTGTTATAGATTGATCTTCTTGTCAATTTTAAAAAGATATTTATATATTTTTGTGATATGATTAAAATATATAAATATATTATAATTTAAATTATAAATATTAATTAATTAAGTTTAAATTAGCAATTCTAATTAGATTTTTTAAACTATAGATACATTAATTTTTTTCATTTTATATAATAAAAATTAATAAATAAAAAGTATATAAATTATTCATATAATTAAAATATATTTTAAAAATATATATAAAAAAATTTATATAAAAAATATTGGTGGATTGGTTTATATTCTATTAATCCGTTCTTTGATTAATAGAATTAAATTTGTATCTCATTTTAATTATGATGGATTATGATGGATTAGTTCATCTAACTATTTTTTTATAGAGAATCAACCAAAATAAAACTGACTTATTTTATATTTTAAATATAAAATATTTATTAAATTTGATAATAATTTGTAAGGAATTTGGTTGAGTAACTTTTGATGAAAATTATTCTCATAATATGTTTATATTCTCTAGATTTAAATTAAAAACCTTACCTAAAAACGAGTTCAATATTCGAATAAATTAAAAATATTTTTCAATAATTTAGGTCATAGTTAAATCAATTTCAAATTTCAACATTTTAAAAAAATTAAAATAACATTTTATCAGTTTTAATAAACATTAATTTAAAAAAACATATTTTTATTTTTAAAAACATAAAAATCAAAAAGTAAATTTTGAAAACCTTTTAAAAAAAATATATATCAAACAAGTTATTTTACTATTAAAAACTAAAACACGAAAAATATTTAAAAAATAAAATAAAAAGCACCTGATAATTTTAGATCAAAATAGTAAATAAGTATATAAATAAAAGAAAACGTAAAAAATATTCAAAGACTAATGTCTAAAGTATATAAAACTAAAAAAAGAAGAAGTGATCTTTTAGATTTTAATTAAATTTTATTGATTTAAACACGACAAAATAAAAAAAAAGGAGTGAACTAATTTAGTTTAAATATAAATAAATTGCAGGAAAATTTTGTTTTAAATGATTAGATTAAAAGAAAAATATATATATTATTTTTGAGAGAATTGCTATTAACATATATTTAGTTTATCTTCCATTTCATGTAACTTTTTATTATTATTAATTTTTTTTTCATTCAAGGATAACTGTCCCATTTGAAAGAAGGGGGAAAATAAGTTTTTAGAGGAAAAAAGAGAGAGAGAGTGGGCAACGGAAATAACAACACAAGGCAAACGCGTCGTTTTATGAAGAAGAGGGTCTTATCCATTTCCCCTGACACTTGCCACACACCAAAGCTATGTGGTGGTGATATTCAAAATGAGAAGAATAGTCATGTGAATGCCGCTGTTGGCACTGCTCTGCAATGGCGCTACTACGTGTTGTGTGCTTATCTTCATCAAATCAGTTTTCCACTCAACCCCATTCTTCCCTTTCCCAATCCATCAACTTCCCCAATCGCCCTTCCTTTCACCTTCCACGTTTATCCCTCACCACGACCAAACAAACCCCTAATTTCACTCTCACGTGCGTTTCCACTTCCCAGCAACAAACCGAGCCAGTTACAGAAGAAGAATTTTCAAGTACAAGGTTACTCGCTCAGAACGTGCCCTGGACAAGCACACCCGAGGATATTCGTTCTTTGTTTGAAAAACATGGAAAAGTCCTCGAAGTCGAGGTTTGTTTGTTTTTCTTTTCCTCCTCTTTTTTATGGTTCTGATTATGTAAGGTTTTTTGTTTCCTGAAATTGTGTCCGTTGTTGCGGTTAAGCTTTCTATGTATAAGAAAGACAGAAACCGGGGTTTGGCCTTTGTCGAAATGGGTTCCCCAGAAGAGGCTCTCGAAGCTCTCAATAAACTCGAATCGTATGTAAGCCCGAAGCACTCTACACTGCTTTTGTTATTTACAAATACACACCCATTTTTATCGGAAATAATGTTTAATTTCTTTTTTTTCTTCTATGAATGTGCTTAGGAGTTTGAGGGTCGTGTAATGAAAGTCAATTATGCACGGCTGAAAAAGAAGAAAACGCCACCTCCGGTGAAACCAAAGTCTGGGGTGACGTTTAACTTGTTTGTTGGTAACTTGTCCTATGAAGCCAAGTCCAAGGATCTCAAGGAGTTTTTTGATTCTGGGACTGGTAAAGTTGTTAAAGCTGAGGTTGTCTTTGATGTAAATCCTAGAAAACCGTCTGGTTATGGATTTGTGTCCTTCAAGACCAAGAAAGAAGCCGAGGTTGCTCTTTCTGAGTTTCAAGGAAAGGTAACTCGGGGTTTCTTATTTGTTTGGATTTGGATTATTGAGTATGGATAATATCATTCTCACAAGTTTTATCAGCAATGTCTTCTGCTTCTTTGTGTACTGTTTTCTATAATTTATTTGTCCCCTCACCTAAGCACATTTGAAAATGGTTGTCTCCCAAGTGCAATTTTTTGTTTTTTTAAAGTTTGTCCCATGAACACTTAAGAAAACAGGAGATGAGAAAAAACGTCTATCAGTTATTTCTGTTTTTTCATTTTTTTATTTTTATAACACTTGATTTGGTAACAATTTTCAAAACATAATAGATTTTGGATGAGAAATTAATTGTTGACTTGTATGGAATTGTTTTAAAGAACAGTTTTTAAACATTGAAGTGAGAAGGGAATTAAACAAGCCTTACTGTTTGGAACACTGTTTTTGGTCAGATTAATGCTGGCAAAATAATTCCTCTCTGCAGGATTTTATGGGAAGGCCAGTAAGGGTGGATCGTGGTCGGCGATTTGTTCAAAAACCAGGGGAGGGTAATGCAAAGTCTGAAGGTACTCCTTCTGAGTTGAGTGTAAATGGAGCAGAAGCTCAACAACCAGTAGAGGGGACTGCGAACTCTGAAGATACTCCTGAGTTGAGTGTGAATGGGGCAGAAGCTGACAAAACTGATTGATATCAAATTTTCCCTGATGCATGTCAATATTATTGATGTTGTATGTCCTTGCGTCGTACATTTTGATGTTTTGCTCGTTCTTGCTTACTATCCAAAGTCTGAGTGATTTACATTAACTTCTTTTACAGATGGTTTGAAGCTTTATAAACAAGACGCTCGAGATACAAGGAATGAATAGGTGCAAGCACAGTGAATTCTGTGATTCAAGAATTAATAGTTGTTGTAAATGAGTTATAACGTCTCCATGGAATCAATAAATCCTTATTGCGTAATTTAACAGTTGTTGGCATGCTACTATATCTTAGGAAAGCAAGAAACATATGTATATCAGTGACTTTGTTTACATCTTCACTGGTTAGTGGTTGCTTCACAATGATGTGGATGTGATCCAATGTATTCTTTCTTTATCTTCAATATATTCAACAGCTTAAGAATATTGGTTTGAAATCTATAGGAGGGAAACAAAATTAAACCAATTTAAACTAGAACTGAAGCTTGAGCATAAAATGCATGTTATATGACAATACAAACCTTTCGATGAATAACACTTGGGACATGTTTTGTGAATTCTTTTTGGAGTAGTTCTGAGACAGTTATTTGGTTTTTCTTTGATAGTATTACTACAAGACATAAGACTTGTCTGGTAATCTATGAATGAGGCTTGAATCACAGGCCAAAGTCAGATTATTTCTACTGAGTTTACTATATATGTGGTCAACAAAAAAGATTGCCGACAATGCATGTAAATCTCTCTTGGTAGTATCTTCTAAATACTGCAAAGTCCTAAGAAATCACATGAATCACTAGACAATTTGGGTGATTTGATTCAGAGATGCAGTGATTCAAAATGCGTCCAAAATCACTTTTCATGCTGAGTTGCACCTTGAATAAACTGTATTGCAAGAATCACACCTTAAATTGTCGTTGTTGTTCTTCTGAATTGTTTTAGTACTTGCTGTCATTTTGTTTTTTTACTTTTTAGGGAGTATGCAGCAGAATTATGCTGTCACTGTCACTGTTTTTTCATTTCGTATTATTTTCTTTTTTGGAATTATGATTGCCATGACTTGAATCTAGGTCACTTGGAGGTTTATTCTTCACTTTGTAATGTTAGGAGTTGTTGGGCTTTAAAATGCTAATATCTATGTCTTTTTAATGTTTCATCGTCAGATAGATATAGTTCGATTCGGATCACGATTTAGAAAAACAGGTCTTTCATTCATGAGTCAAATCCTGATTTGATATCCATAGTAAGTAGTACTATATTTTTCTTGACGTGTATTTATGATTTCATAAGGCTAAATAGCATCATGATATTGCATCTGTTTGAATCTTCCATGAAATTATTACTACCGGAAAATATAATGTAATATTAAACCAAACCATCACTGAAATGGGTAGTGAGAAGAATATATATATATATATATATATATATATATATATATATATATATATATATATATATATATATATATGTATATATATATAAATTGTTCTTTACCTCTCCTCATTTATTAAACTATGAGAAACTTAAACCAGAACATATAATGTAATCACAGATCCATTGAAATTATTTTACAAGGAAAGCATTCAACATGTGGGTCACATTCCTAAAGGTCCTTTTATGTAGCAAGTTACATGGTAGAGTTCATCCTTAGGGGTGCGCTAGGATGCAAATAGACATAGATAGTGCTACTAAAGGAAATTCATGTGAAGCCGGTTGCAGGGAAATTATTCAAAGCAAAATGTTTCCTATATCGGGGTTGCCAATGCTTTTGAAATCGAGTTGAGTTGTGCTGTTGATTTCAATCAAAGCAAAATATGGGTTGGTCCAGTATAGAATCAGATGAGGGCCCGTTTTTGCTAACCCATTTAAAGAATTGGTACCCGACATGCCAGGCCTATCCGTGTGGTCAAATTTGAAGGGAGTAATAGATAACTATGGTTTCCTTTGGGTATAAAGTTGAGTTGAATAGCTGGAAAGTGGAAACCCATACTTCTATGATTGTTCCCTTGACATCAACTATAACCACAATAAGTAGTTGCCATAGCGTGGGGTACGGGGACCATCGTCACTAAGGACCACCCTTCACACTTTCCCTTTAGATTTTAAAATCAACAAGTGTTGGTAATTTAGTTATCGTTTATTAAAAATAACCATTATGTAGTAATTTCAAACATTATTAAATTAACCAGTTATCATGATTCTGGACACTAATTTAACATTAGTCATCGTGTTTGGTAAGCTGTTACGATCAACATTTCGCGTCACATTCTTCTTTCCGTGCCACGTTCACCATTTTTTCTTTCATGCCGACTTCCTGTTTTTAGTTAATCCAATTTTTGAGACGTAAAATTACACCACTTTTACGATGGTTTTACGTGAAAACAGCCTCGGTACCAAATCCAAACACGTCATGCGATTGTCCAATAAAATGTACTGTCTTCATTCCTTAAGGGTGGCCATACAGAGCAACGCAATGACGTGTAAAGACTTTATAATTATTAATGGTCCCTTTTTAGCATGCCACTACGTTATTCCTTGTTGCGAACTTGTTGATTCATGGCATGGCTTAAAGTTTCACAGATTAAAAAACTTAATTTATCAATAAAGATTAGTTCAGACCTAATAATTTCTCCTACATAATGCTTTAGTAGTAGTTGCATTGTTGTGTAGGTTCTAAGCAAATATGCGTTTTCAAACATTTACATAGTTGACAAGCGTTCCTCCAGGCACAAACACGTAATTTCCCTAACCGTATTGGTCGGAACATATTGCTGCAGAATCAGAACTAGACGTAACCATAAAAGTAAACCAAAAGAAAAGTATATATATTCTAATCTCTCTATTATTTTTCTTCATTGGCAATCCATCACAACACAACCGATCCTGCTGTTAGACTACTAGGTTTAGTCAAAGGGCATTATAATTGCAACAGAATAATTTCACTCAACCACTATTTCGTATCTCATAATGTGAGTTGGAAAGAACACATAACACCATCTTTCGTGGCTGTTAGGTATGAAGTGCAACTCAAGTCATACATCCTCATGCAGAATGCGACAAACTGGGCCTAACTTTAACAACTCCCATCACCTTCTCTCAATGATATAAAGCAAACCCATTTTCCATTTGCATCTTCAGACCCTCCTCTCCACTCTGTTTTCCCTTCTTCCCCCGTTGTCCCACCAAATCATGGCATTCTCTGGTGCTTTGGTTTTGGCCTCATTGATTGCAATCAGCATGGCCCTGCCAACCCTCGCAACCGTCTACACCGTGGGAGATTCTTCAGGTTGGGCGATTGGTGCAGATTATAGTTCATGGACTGGTGGCAAGACCTTCTATGTGGGTGATACTGTGGGTAAGAACCAGGAAAAAATTCACTTTTTGTAGTACATGATTATAAGTTATGTGACTTTTAAAATATTTATCTCTGAATGAAAGTGCCTCATGTGACATTCATTTGTTGACAGTGTTCAACTATGGAGCTGGACACACAGTGGATGAAGTTAAAGAGAGTGACTACAAATCCTGCACCGCAGGGAATTCAATCAGTACAGACAGTAGTGGTGCAACCAAAATTACCCTCAAGACTGCAGGCAATCATTACTTCATATGTTCTGTTCCTGGACATTGCTCTGGTGGCATGAAACTTGCCCTCACTGTCAAAGCAGGAAAAGACACCACTCCTTCAACTGGGAAGGCTTCACCTTCTGACGACGGCACCGCCACCACAGCCACACCAACCACCACCACCACCACCACTGCAACTAAATCAAACTCGGCTTCAACGAGTATTGTGACATCAACTGTTGCCATGTTGATTGTTTCATGGATCACTCACTATGCCTTGCGCCTGGTATAAGTTTGATCGCTGAGCCAGGACAGAGGCAGTGCTTTCAGCGTTTCTTTCCATCATCCTATTTATTATTATTATAATTATTATCACTCTGTTTTCTGGTTTGATTTATTCAGATTTTAGTTATCTAGGAAATTTCCCATATTGATCTTTCATTTTCTCTTTTGTTATATATTATAGGGTACCGTTTAGTAGGATCTATTTTATTTATATATGCCCTTTTTTTTAATGGTGAAGAGAAACATCTCTTATTTTTGAAAACAGAGTAAATCACCACCTAAATTGATTCGAGCAAGAAAATATATTTAGGAGTAAATCAATTGCCGACTTTTTAAGCTCCAGAATTATGGGTGTTAACTAAAGGTTTTGAAACCACTATTATGCGTACGATGAAATTTTGAAAGAGTTACCTTACTGTCTACAAACATTTTTTTTTCATGTTTCTAAAAACATGTGATACAACAATATTTTTAAAATCTTATTGAGCAGTAACGATAATTGTTCAGAGTTTATGATTATACTGCAGTTAAAGTGTAAAGAAGTAATTTTTGTTAAATAGAAGGTATAAAGGCACGTCACTAAGAGAAATATTGATTTCACTAGTTACTTCAAAAAGTAAAGATTTTTTTTAATCCCTCGATTGTTTGTATTTTACTTAAATACTGAATTAATTTACAATTACACGATTAATTGTCTTAGTAAGGATATTTTAATAGAAAAAGAGTACTATTTTATTTTAATAATAATACAAAATATATATTTTTGTTGTTGAATACATGTTACTTAAAACAACAGGTAAATTATGTTACTAGCATTTTTTGACAAAACGTTTTAGGGTTTGAGTATTTAAAACCAAAGTAACGGCATTTTCGTCTGTACGACACTTAACGAGGTAAAGGAAAAGAAATAGGGTGGTGCAAAAAGAAAATTTCTTAGTACTGTTGTTGCTCCTTCAGACATTTAAGCCGAAGATCACGTGTGAAGGCACTTTCCTCTTATATCCCATAATTTCTTATTGTAACTCTATACCTCAACTAAAAGTATTTAAAAAATCCTTTTAATATTTTTTGTTTCAGATTCTAACATTTTTTTTCCTATGAAAGTTTTGCACCTCCCTTGTTTATCTACACACATTCATAGATATGTAGATTTTGTTTGTTTTGTTATCACCTTCATTTAAGTTTATTTCTAATAGTTAAAAGATAAATAATGTTTAATATCATGAACCTACATTGTTTATAAGACTTTTTACGTCGGTTAAAATGAGTTTTTACGTCGGCGACATAGATATAAGAGTTACACTAAATTTATATATGAAGATCTAAATTGTTTGAGGTAAATAATGTTTTCAGCAAAGATTTTGTTGGAAAAATACTTTTTGAGGTAAATAATTTATACAAATTAAAAACTTTAAAGATTCTTATTTATTTCTTGTAATGATTGAAATATTAAGAAAAGATAGAATAAAAATGTTTTAATAAAATTTAAAAATGATAAATAAATAATTACGAAAAGATAAATATAAAGATAAAATTTAATTTAATTTAATTAGGAAGAAACTATGGAAGTGCAGTAAAACTTAGTCTTTAATACTACTATACAAATCTAAGAAAAAGGAGATTTGTGTACTAATATATGTCAGGAAAGGTGATAACCATAATAGGTGCGAAGTTTTTTAGGTACTTAAATATTTTTCAAATGGTCGATGTGAACATAATTGCTAAATATTCTCCACGTATTATACAATACAGATATTATATAATTATTCAATTTTTCACTATTTTTTCTATTCTTCAAAATATTTGATATTTTTATTAAATGAGTAATTATTTCTTATAATAAAATAATTTTAAATTATTTATTTATAGCATCATAAATAAAATTATTTATTGTCAAACTAAATAAAATTATTTATTATCATCATAATTTTAAATATTTAATTAATATTTTTTAAGTTTCAATATTGTTTATAAAATATATGTTTTAATATGTTTTTATTAAATTTTAAGATAGTAGTTTAATAATGAGAATAAGTGAGAGATGATAAAGGAAAATAAGCAAAGTAAAATAGAAAAAAGAAAAAAATAAAAAGGAGAAAAATAAAAAAAAATTTATGAATAGGATAAAAAAAGTAATTAGATCATATAAATTTTATTTAATCTTTTTAAAATATATTATTTTTAGTATTCTTAATAGTACGTTACGTGAAAGAAATAAGAAAAAGGTAAAATATATACATTGAATATATAAAAAATTACACATGATAAATTTATTAATTTTTATAATAATTATGCATTTTTTAAAAACGATGATTTATAAAGTGAATGATAATAATAGTTACGAAGGAGTAAGGTCCATCTGGTAAAAGAAGACACAGGAATGACTTAACTTATTCTAACTGTAACTGCCACATGCTGACACACCCCAAAACATGACAAAAACTTGTTCCTCGCTACAACTATTGAGTTCTGATTCGCAAACACACCTAAAAGGAACAATTGAAGCACATAAGAAGGTATGAAATAGGGATAAATTGATAAGTAAGAGGTACATAAAAATAGTAAAAATAATAATAATAATAATAAGTGATATGGTGGTAGTATGAGTCTGGGAGAGGGAAGGGATCCGAATGAAACCCCAATGAAGATTCCCCAAAAGTCACTATCAACGTCATGTTCCCGCCAATCAAAAAAACAAATCTTCGCCGTCTCTCTAACTCAACTCAACGCAACCTCGTACGTACTCAGTATACTAGTAATAACAACGATAAAAGTAAACCTACACACACACAACTACCGGATCTACATCATGAACGCGGCCACGGCGGCGAATGAGGCGGCGGATACGGCTCTGGCTGCCGAGAATCTAGGGGGGTGGGCGCGGCTTTCGGGAGCGAGAGCAGAGGGACCTTCGGAAGGTCCGTCGCCGAGGAAGGAGGGACTGGAGGCGATGGGAGAGTCGGAGTCGGAGGCGACGTCGGGAGAGGGGGGAGAGCTGGTTGGAGAGTCGGAGGAGGCGGTGGTGGATCCGGTCGGGGATTCGGAGGGGGAGGAAGCAGTTGGGGACGGCGGAGAAGAGAGCGGAGAGGCGCCGGGGGCGTCGGAGGTAGTGGGTGAGGTGGCGGTGGGAGAAGAGGCGTCGGGGGCGGTGCCAGGAGAGCCTTCGGGGGCGGTGGAAGGAGAGGCGTCGGGGGCAGTGGAAGGAGAAGCGTCGGGGGCGGTGGAAGGAAAAGCGTCAGGGGCGGTGGTAGGAGAGGCGTCGGGGGCAGTGGAAGGAGAGGCGCCGGGTAAGGTGGGGGAAGAAGCGCCGGTGGCGGTGGGGGATGAAGCTTGTGGGACTGAGGCGTCTGGCGGAGAAGCGTCGGGAGTGGCGGCGGGGGAAGTGGAGGGAGTTTGAGCAAAAGCAGAGGTTGCCAGCAACGGCAAGATAAAGAGGAAGGTCATTGTTTTTGCCATGATTATTGGTTTGAGGGAAGAAAAGAAAGTAAAAGAACGAATATTTGGAAATTGGAAGGGTGTGGTGGTTTATATATGTTTGTGTAGGAAACGTGGTGTAATGAGTTTGTGTTGATTTGAGGTGAGGAATGTTTTGTTTTCTCCATTGGTCCTGCCGAGTCAACCGCGCTACACCATCCAAACATTCTAATCAACTTCACCTATCAACCCTACGATGCCCCGATTCAGTGACGCATTCCCTATCACTTAATATTCTTCATTTTATTTCCAAAACTTCTATCTATAACAACTCTTTTACATCTTTCTATACCAATATCACCAAACTTCTTCAAATTATTTGTCCATAAGAAAATACACTTCACTTATTGGTCTTGGCTTTTATTAATAACCCTTGTAAAAGAAACAACCTAGGAAATTGACCATAATAAAGTTTGAATTGAAAATGCTATTCATAACCTAGCAGCACCATCCTTGTAACCATTACCATTTGCAGAAATGAAATGATTAATGTATATCTCTCAATAACATGTTAAGTGTCCCAACTCCAAGTTTCAAACAGGAAGACATGATGTATTTATTGTATCAAAAACCTCTAGTGTGTGTATATCATATGAATTATCTATGTTATCATTAACTGCGATAGGAGTAACAAAATTTAGATATGATTTTTTTTTCAGTATAAGTTGATCACATCATATGTAATTTTTTAATGATACAACAACATCAGTTTAGGTGCTAATACAACACCGTGTGAGATATATATCATTTTAATTCGCTAGGTTAAACAAGTTTTAAGAAAATAGATATTTACATAAAATATATAATAATATTATCAATTGTTTATATTATTTTTAAGAGACATGATATAAAAGATGAAATATAAAATATTATATTATTTATGAGTTGAGACTGGAGTAGTTTATATATATTCTAATCTCTTAACCTAGACGTTTTTTAAAAAAAGTCAATATCTCATACATGTTGATCGTAACAATATTATCATAAAGAACATGAGATCAAGACCAACCCTATTCATCGACATCATGAATAACAAAGACATAATCGATCGTTTGAAAGTACATATTGAAACTAAAAAACATGTTTTTAAGAAGAAAAACAAGGAAATAGAAAAACAGTTAGTTTTATTAACAATATTTCCTCTACAGTATCGTGTCTTATCTAGGAATAAATCACAATCATAGTTTCAATCCACACCCTTCAAAGCGGATACTCACTTTGAGAGTGAGTCCGACCACAAGGCAGCCTGGGGAGACACTAAAGGAGGAAAAGATAAGGAAAAAATAAGTTTGACATTTCAAGAGTACGGAGTTAACCAAATTTAAAGCTTGAAAGTCCTTTTACCTTTGAAATTTTGGAAGAGCCATTATCATTAATTTGGATAGTACCTATGATTGAGAACTTTGGGGGAGAGATCAATTCCAATGAACATGTTCAATCTTATCTAACTCAAGTTAATGTATTTGGAGAAACGATGTCTTTTTCTGCAAAATCTTTTTAATGATCTTGAATATGGAATGTCACTCAAGTGGTTTTTTGATTTACCCCCTAGATCAATATGATCTTTTGAAACATTAATACAAAGGTTGAGAAAATTTCCCCGCTAAAAGACCTCACTGGCCAACTTCCCTCACCCTTCAGGAGTTAAGGCAAGATAAAACTAAATCCTTAAGAAATTTCATAGAGTGTTTCAATTAGGTCAACCTTATAGTTCATAGTCTTGGTTATTCACTCTTTGATATCTGGACTCAGACATGGACAATTCTTGGATAATTTTTACATTGATTATCCAAAATACTTTGAGGAACTAAAAACTCGGGCCTTTAAATTCATACATCTAAAGGATAACATTGAAATAAGGAAAAGGAGAGAACTTCAAGAGAAAGAAGGCCCCTCAAACAGATATTAACTTAAACATCAGAGTGTTTTAGTAGGTTATCAACCCATATCATTATATACAGTTTGGTCACGTCGATTCCAAACTTACATGACTGAATTACATTGTTTCTTGACCTACACTGATTTGCCACGTTGATGCTAATTCTTTATAGATCAACAATGTTAATTTAATATTTGAATAAGATCTTATATAAATCTCTTTGGAGAGTTTGTTTGTTATTTTGTTGTTTTCTTTTCGACAAGAACATATTATATATATAATATGTTCCCTTGTAAGCTTCGCCACAGCCTAAGCCAATCCTAGATGATATAAAATATATCTTATTATGCTAGTCTTATCATTTCAAGATAATAGGGATTGAACAACTATGTATTGTTATTTTTTATGGTTAAGTTAACCTATTAGGTTATATTGAATAATGGATAACCTAAAACATATCTTAGATAAAAGATCAGCTAACATAAAAGTGAAAAACATCGATTCATATCCCTTATTTATCTTGATTATGTCACTTACCCCCTAAACACTATGATAAGGACCATCACTAACATGAAATTTAGAGAATATGATAGAATGACGAGGATATAAAAACTTAAAACTTAGAGAAAAAATTATTACTCATCTTTCACTTGGGACTAGAGAGAGAAAAATGAATAAAATTTCATCTCCCGCTTTTCGTTAGAATATTTTGGCGTCCACGATCAAAAATAGAAATTCAATCCCTTATATACAATTTATTTTTTAACCCATTAAAGTATTTTTTAAAGATAGAATTATCATAAACTAGAATTTTAAAATAGATAATATTTTAAGTATGACAATAAACATAATAATGATGTCATCATTTCATTCATAAACTAAATATAATAATATTTTTTAATATAATTTTTAAATTTTATTTTTAAGAAATTTAAAACAAACGATAATAATCTATTTATCAACCAGATTATCAATATATTTATTAGTTTAATTATCAATCCTATACAAATCATTTTCAAAACCTACCCTACTAATCTCAATTGGGACAACTTACACTACAGCAATATAAATGAACAGGAGAGAAGTATCCCTAAATAATAACGTAGACAGTATAAAACAAGTTTTCACTACCATTTTTTTCCCATTAGTTATCTTAATATTTTAATTAAATTTGTAATTCAATTGGTTTAACATTATTTTTATTATTTTTCATTTATATATTTTAAAATTAATACTAATTACTTTACTAATTGATTAATACAATATAATATTAAATTTATATAAATTATAACATTAAAAAAATATACAAACCTAAAATCATATTATATAACATAATTTTCATCGAAAATAAAAAATTATTAAAATCGTATTATATATAATCACTTATACCTAAAATAACAGAAATCATATTACTAAAAAAGCTTTTAAACTATATAAAATAAAATAAAGGATTTTTATGCCGGATTCTTTCTATAAAAAATAAAAATTACGCTGAAAATATTATTTATTTAAATCAATAATTTAAAAAAAAATCACAACTTATCTAAATAGATAATTGTTCACAACTTACCTATTTTAATAAATATATTACATCATTGGTTGCATTTACCGAAGTTCTGTGGCATGAACAAATATTCATAAAACCTGTGTTATTGTACCAGCAAAACCCCACAGTACGGTACTTTTCCTGAGTTATTGAAATGGTATTTAGTAGACAATGACAACAAACTCCAAATTATGAAGTTGTGACCTTGAAATGTTTGTAATATCAGGATCAATTTTTCTTCTGTACAAACAGGCATATTTATTTTTCAGTTTTCATTTGATCCTATTACAAATAAATGGCAGAGAAATAAGATAGATATAATTTATTATAAAATAACAAAAACCATAGAGTAAAACAGGGTCCATAGCTCAGTGGAAGAGCATTTGACTGCAGATCAAGAGGTCATCGGTTCGAACCCGGTTGGGCCCTTATTTTTGGAATTGTATTTTTAAAATTTTAAGTATATTAGCATACATATATAAAAAAACAATATTGAACAGGTATATTTTAGAAATAATAATAACTCACAATTTAGCTATTTATCTTTCCTTCTGTCAAACAGAGTGTTAGAAAGTGGGTATACACATTGCATCACTTATTTCCTCTTGATCCAGTTCTATCAAATCTACTAAATTTATAAGCACAGCACACACAGTCCCAGGACTTGATCCAAAACAAAATTTCAATGGTATTTTTCTTAGTCAGCTAATAGAGAACAAAATAACAGTCTAGGGGATTAATTTCAAAGCACACATTAATATACAACAGTAACAGCACATTCTGCAGCTACCACTCTTGCAACAATTGAGTAACACCAAAAATCTCGGATTCATTTCCATCATATTTTCACCTTCCATTATCCCTAGCAACCATGCTCAAAATTGAAACTAAACTATAACTTTATTCCGCAAGTTCAATATGGTATCCCCAAATTACACAATTTAAAGCAGAACAGTACATTCTGCACCTCCCCCCACTTGCAATAATGGTAATAATAATTGACACATACAAAAAATCTTAATCAAAACCACGCAACTAAACAGTCAAGGACAGATTTGTACGAGTCCCAATTCCTAACTGCACAAGATGACCCTTGTGAGAGCAAGAGAGAAGCAAGCCATAGAGAAGAAGAACAAGGAAACAAAGTCCCTTGAAGACCATTTCCTAACATCTTTGGCCTCCACCCTCAAACTCTTGGCCCTCCTCAAAGCATCAACCTCCTTCAACAAATCAAACTCCAACCCTTTCTTCTTCAATTCCTCCACGCACTTCCCCAGCAACCCCTTGTCCTCCTTCTCCCGCAGCAGCATCTTCTCCATGTGAGCCTCCACATCGCTCTTGTACCGCAAGGCCCATATGATGCCGAGCGAGAATAGCAGAGAGCACAGTGAAGGAACCCATGATCTGTGACAGGAAGAAGATGGTGATGATTGTGAAGAGTTGAAGAGGAGCATGAGGGTGGTGGAGTGGAAGAGGAAGAAGAAGATGTAGAGTGTGGTGATCTCTTTGCGCGTCGAATCTATTTGGGTCTCCTTCAGGGCTATGCGGGTATTGATGAGTTCCTCTTCTTTCAGCCACTGTTTCAGGAGGAGCTTGTGGGTGGGTGTTTCGGCGATTTGGTGAAGTGGGTGCATGTGCTTCCACTCCATGATCGATGATCTCGTTGCGCTCTGTTGTTGTTCTTCGTTGTTGTTGTTGGCCATCGGAGCGTTGCAAGAGAGATTGATTCAGAGTCTGAAACGAATAGTTGTATATAAAAGGGTGTATTGATGAGGTTTTTTGAATTTTTCCAACGGTCGAATTTCGTGAATTTCCTGTAATACCCTCTCTACGGTTTTATAAATAGACGGATCCAATTTCGTAACGCTAAAACGGGACAGATAACTTGGAACTTGGGTTACGGAATCTTTTTCTCATATTTCATTGTAAACGAAAGCTTATCTTTAATTAAATTAATTAAACAAAAAAAAGGAGTCTAAATTGTGTCTAATACAAGAATAATAATTGAAGGGCCTAATCATATAATCCAACATACCCACAATTGATAAAATCAAAGAGTAGAATAGAATTGTATCCTTCTGATGAAATTCAATTAACTAACTAATTTGTAGGATTCAGAAAATTAAATAACATAGTTAATAATATTAGTTTTATCTTAAATTATTTTTTCTCCTAAAATAACCTCTAATATTAATGAAACGTACTTTATTTTTAATTTTTTTATTAGTTTTAATTTCTTTCATTATAAGTACATTTATTATTTTAATGTAAAATGATCAAGCTTACTATTTATTGAATTCAAAAAGTAAATTAAAAATAAAAATGTTTGTAAAATAAATAAATAAATATAAAAGACATTCTAAAAAATTCTAATAAAAAAGAACCAAATTAAACTTTTAATTTTAGTATTATAAAAATAACCATTATTTTCATTCAGGCCTTGAAATCACAAAAGGAATTGAATAGAAATTGATTGAGATGTAACTTCTGAGAGAATATAAGATTAATTTTCTTTTTGTCATAAAAAGAATTTGACCATGAAAAGAGTTACAATGAAATGAAATTTAAAATACAAGTTAAGATAAAAGCAGTGATGATTATCCAAATTCGTGAGACCGGCGGCCTCAAGTAACTGGTAACATAAGATTTCAAATTTTCCTCTTCGGCCTTTGTTCCCCTCGAACAGTAACTGAACTAATACATTTCTATATCCAGATGCAGTAATATTTTGTTTGTATATAATATGCACTATGCATGCTATAGCTACAGTACAGATAGCTGTCCCGAAAAAACAAAGAATCATTACTGCTAGTGCTTTTTTCACTTTTTCCTTTTAATGCATACTATACAACAGCTTCTGCAATCAAAACTTCGCCTCAAGAAGAATGGAGGAGTATGGAGCTATATTATACGTGTTTCCTACGCTAGGGACACCATCATGAACAAAGTCGTCCGGCGATTTGAGATTAGTGTCCACCTGCATATGCGTCCAGAATTCAAATTAAGTAGAAAAAATTATAAGTTACACTCCATATCGAACAACGTTTTAAAGTGGACCGATGCACCAAATAAAATTCCTCCTAAAATATTTTCGCTCGTCAGAAGATATATAAAATAGCAACCAGGGAATCCAATCACACCATGCTTTGAGAAAAAACCGATTCAACAGATATATTCTTTCGATCAAGTCAAAACCATAGACTTCCAACAAGATTCTCCAGATGTGGCGGGGTGTGTTTTGGGGGGATTAAGAGGGTAAAAGGGTTGTAATGCAGCTGCTGCACAGAGATCGTCATGGTACACTGTGAGGGAAAGGGAGAGACTGATTGGGGAAAGAATCAAAGGTGAGTGCAAGAGAGGGTAATAAGAACAGGCCACTCCGGTTGATAGTGGCCCATAGAGGAAGGGAAGAAGAGTGCTACTAACAGAAAAATCAACTGGTCAACTAACTTTTATAATAATTAAAAAACTGACATTTAAGTTTATAAAACAAAACTGGCCACCTTGTATATCTTCATGAATCCATTACCTACATTATTGTTCGAGAATTACAAGAATATGACCCGGATGAAAGACGGAAGAAGTTCTTAGGTTGGTTAGATCGGTCTTTGACTGATCTTGAATTACAAGAATATGATTTGGATGGAAGACGGAAGAAATTCTTAGGTTGGTTAGATCGGTCTTTAACTGATCTTAGTTAATGGAAGAGAAACACTTAAATTTACGGAAAAAGTTTTGTTATGTAAACTTAAATGTCAGTTTTTTAATGATTGCAAGACAGTTGTTAGTTGATCAGTTGGTTTTTCTATGTTATTATCAGTTATGACAGTTAACAGAATTTGAGACGGTTTGAGTCAGTTTTACTGCCTTTAAATACCAGATGTACATGTTGAGATTTGAATAAGTACAGTTTTCAGTGAATCTGAGTTATCATGAAAGAGATCTTAAAATTGTTCTCCAGCAACCATGTCCATGATCTGTTTGTTCCAACATTGCTCTCTTCTCTTTCCATATTAAGAATTTTTGTTTTCCTAAATTATAAAAATTTATCATTCATATTTTTGTAGAGGTCTCAAACCCACATTTTGCAGTAATCTATAATCCACCTTATGTGAGTTTTTTTTATTGTTAAAAATTGAATAAACTAAAAATGAAAGTTTCCATATTTTTTGGAACAAAAAAAAAATATTTAACCCATTCTTAACTTTCAATCATAAAAAATCTGGTGTCAATCAGTAAGCCATCATTCTACTGTCAGTCAGTCAGTCAAATTGGGCTGATTGCAAATTTCTGAAGGAGGAAGGTAATCTACATTTTTTTTTTCCTAGTAAAAGATACCGAGAATCTGACGCAAGGGATTTGTTTGCCATAAATAGTCCTCTATGCATTGTAATTACGTATGCAAGTGAAAATAAAGCGTTTTTGGATATGCCCGAGAACAGAAAACCTTACCACACGTTGCCACTTCCTCTTTTCTGGAGGCGTGGGCAGCAGAACTTTGATAAAGTAGTCGTGAGCATTAAATGCCAAATAGATGTCTCCCCCGCTCCTGTCATGAAGCCTGCATTCACATGCACAAACACAAGGTCAAGTCAGTCTCAATTAATCAACTTGTAAGAAGAAATTTGCACTCACTTACAATTTATTTAGAATTCAACACGTTTCTATCTCATTTCCCTACTAAAGATAGGCATATATTCTTACGTGAATGCAAGAAATTTGCTGTCATGATTGTCCCAATGGTCTTCATGCCATGTTATGTCATTCTGCAAAAAATAGTTGTTGCATCAGCATGCTGGAAGTGTAAGTCTTTTCAATAGAACTGCTCAACTTTACCGTATTAAAATGAAGCATGCGCATCAGCATAACGAAGCAACAGATATTTTACCTTGCTGAGAAAACTTTCATGACTGAATACTTCATGTGCATGCCTGTACTTTATCACCTTCGAGAAAAACCTGAAGTGATCACTCTTCCTGGCATCCAACTATTGAGCAGAAAGTTAATGCATTAAGAAATAGTCTCTTAAGTGGTCTAGAAGGATGTTATAAACTTGCCTGATCCCACAAAAAACTATTAATGGCGGTATCATGCCCATAACTATTGTTATTTCCATTGCGAGTATGTCCATATTCATCCCCCATTAGCATCATTGGTGTACCCTGGCCGTTCATTACAAATCATCATTCTCGTTCCAGTGGTAGCATAATGCAAAAACAAATAAAAACCATATATGCCCTTATAATTTAGGGTAGAATCTGCTATATTATTATTCTGAGAATACAATTCATATATACAAGGCTAGAAAGCTAATTTAGGAAGTATAATAATAGTACCTAAACAACCGAATCCGTATGATTCAGGGATACCATCATACACTATGATTATAATCTGCTAAATAAAGAAACAATAAAACACAAATTCTGACAGAAATAAAACAACTAATAAAACAGATTCTAACCGTCCTCATCTTTTCTTTCAAAAGCAAAATTAATGAAGTCGTGGTGTAACTATCTAAATTGCATGTATATTTATAAAAGAAATATAGGTTAAAATGCAAATATTTCTCCTTCTTATATGTACCTGAGATATCATTAATGCCAAATGGAAGTTTTTCATTTGCCGTGCTCGCAAAGCTTTTATACTAGCATCATCAGTTTCCCCTGTCAAGGAAACACAGATAACTAACCGGTTTCAGTAAAAGGAAAATATTACAGTCTCCGCCTAACAAATAAACACTGCTACCATCATTTCCAACTACAATATTATAGTTTTCAGTAGACAAGGAAGTGCAATTTGAAAACTACCTTCAAAACCACAATTCCAACTAAAATTATCATTGCTACCATCATATCCACCTTCCCCATTGGCTTCATTATGCTACAAAACCAAGAATCAAGAAATATACAAGGTTTTGATGAATCACAACAAATTGAAGAAAAGAATTAAGAGACGGTACCTTGAAATTGTATGAAACAAGATCACGCAAGGTGAATCCATCGTGAGCAATAACAAAGTTAATACTATGATATGGCCTTCGCTTGTTCATCTGCAACAACAACAAATGAGAAACCGCCATTAAAGAATTATTTATATAGCACGAAATTAAGGTAAAAATCATCTACAACATATCTTAGACCCATTACTTCAATACATTAACTGAGTAGGAAGATATTACATAAAAAAGTTATGAATGGTGCGATTTGGTCAATTCATATTTTTCATGGACCTAAGATACGCCAACAACTAAATGATGATCCTACAAGTGTCAACATCTACCTTTAAGGAATTAAAATATAAACTAAATATTATAAATAATATTTTAACAATTCTAACTATATGCTATAAAATCTTTTGGCCACTTAATCTTCTTCATTTTGGACCTCTGGCCCATCCTATCATAAAATGTTGACTTCAGAATAATTTACAGTAGTTTTATCTACACTATTCTACCAGGGAAAAGTAAAATTTCATTGTTGTTAGAGCTTAAAGCCGCTCACAGGACTCTACTTAACAGCTTAAGCTTAAGGAGTTGGTCTTTGACATGATACAAACCCATAAAGTTAACAAACATAAATATCTATAAGTTGCTTACTCTGTAAAGATCAGAAGACCCAGCAACGCGAGTAGCAAAGCTCCCCTTCACACCAGAATCACCCTAGGACATGTTTTTTAAAAGAAACAACAAAGAAGGAACAAATAATTCATATAAGACATAGATCAAAAGAGAGTTCAGATAATCTGGATTTATTTAAATTAAGTATCTTCTTACTATTAGAATTACCTTAATAAATTTCCGTACATCATCACGATATTTCCCATTCCATTCAGCCCACCTGCCTCAAACATAAACTATTAATGAAGAAAAACTGTTTCTTTTTTCAACAATAGATTAACTTCTAGACAGAAGAAATAATTTACAGTATTTATGCAGACATAATATCCTAGAAATCATATTATCAGCACTAAAAATAATATCATATTGATGCTGCTCAGATGTTGATTACTGGCACAAACATATAGATCAGGTGATATTGGTCGACCATTTCATGCTGAGAAGCTAAAAACAATATCATGTTCCACAACCTTTAAGAATTGAATGGCAGAATTAGAATCACCAAAGTAGCTTTTGTGATGATTTTATGTTATACAACTTGTGGTGCACTCTCATACATAAACACTGGCAAAGTTGCCAGTGATGAAGGTTGCAAGCACAAAAACAAGGAATGACTAATATCATGATAGCAAAACACTGAAATCAATAATTAAACTAGTAACCTATACACTATCAAAATCACAAAGATCGTCAACTTTCAGGAGGCATAGGATTATAACAAGATTATTCATAAAATAATAATGTTTACAATTAGAAACACTAGTAACAAAAAAATTACCGATCCCAATTTGGAAAACTCCCAACAAGATAAAGACCTCCACAGTCCCAAGGCTCTGCAATAATTTTACATCTTGATAAGACTGCATCTTTTGCAATTGCCTGCAAAAGTAAATAAAAATTAGTTGACTGAAACATTAAAATTTATAAATTCTTTCTAATTGAGGAACAAAACTACTACTCACTTATTGACATCAAATCTACAATTTGTAGGTGTTTTTCAAACTAATCAAGTTAGACAAAACCAAGTCAACCAAAACTAATCAAAAGCCAAATGAATTGCAGTTCAGGCTTTTTGGCTCTAAATTTTTTTTGTTGAATTTGTCAACTCTTTTTGGCTTGCAATTTCTGATTAGAATAGCATTCAATCTCAATCTGGAGCCAAGGTCTTCAAGGTTTGGAGGGTAAAAGGAAGAAAAAGAGCCATGGAATTGTGTTCTTTTAGCAGACTCAGGTCTCTGCATGAAGCAAAAAGACACAATTTTTATTCAGCATTTTTTCCTTTATCTATTTTGTAGGACAAGGTTCTTCTTAAATCCTTTGATTGGTTTCAGGATTTCAGCTCACGTGTTAGTGAAATCAGTTCCTTTCTCTATTTTGCGATGGGGTAAATTTCCCCTTCTATGTGCCAATTTGTCTAAAACCCATTAAACCAGAGACTTAATTGAGTGTTTTCAGTTTGAATGTGTTAGTTTGACACAATGTTAGACACAATGTTAATTGTATTGGCCTCAAAGAATAGCTAATTATCTCAGTCCAGACTACAAAGCAAAAAGTAATGGACACTAATAGAGACAGTGCAATGAAAATTTAAAAGGTCCAGAATTTCGAAAGTGTTGTGCTAAGTATGACATGAATGTCCAACTCGTGTCTGGAAGTATTTTCAGATAATTTGTAATCCCAGAAAGGCTGAACTAACTGATAAGCACTATACCAGTGCTCTTGAAAATTACAGCTGAATTCATTAAATATATCTTGTGCATATTAATTATTTACCCTAATAAGTGGGGGCGCATTGAGGGGGGAACCATCAATTCCTCGACACAGGGCACTTGCAAGATCAAATCGAAATCCATCCACATGATATTCAGTGACCCTACAATAAAGTAAATATATTATTTAAAACACAACAGAGCTTATAAGGAACTAAAGAAAATTATGACTTAAGTTAGTTTGGAAATGTTAGCTCTTCCAATGATAAAAGATGATTCCTTTCATTTGAAAAAATTAATAACATACACTACCAGACCCTCATGCAAACAAGCCAGTTTTATTGATTGCCAAGTAAAAAAGAATCACAGGAAAGGGGGAGAACGGATACAGAAATCTTGACAAATATGCAGAGCTTTATGAACATGTATGATATAATGTATCAGATAAAAAAACCAGAAAACTAGAAATTAGGATGTATTAATTCCATCAGATACAAATAAACATGGATAAGATGGTATTCAATGAATTCAATTTTCATGAAAGAAATCGAGACTATCAAGACATACAATTCAGAATTAAAAAAATAAATAAAAAAATTATAATTAGTCCATACCAGTGCCTTAGGCTGTCAAGAATTAGCTCCATAACCACAGGATGGTTACAACTTAATGTATTTCCTGAGGATAAACACCCACTTGAAGTGAAAAGACTTTAATATATTGATATCAATATACTAAAATTTTTTTAGTGATAACGGAAATAAAAACATTACTTAATTTTCAAAATAGTTACAGAAAGAAAGTATTGCATATTAAATGTCCTTGGATTAAAAGGCATATCTCCATCTAATGGATATGTTACTGAATGATGTGAATAATAAGGAATAGTTTGATAGTTATTCAAAAAATTTAAGAGTACTGTTGTGTTGCACAAATAAGGTTCCATGGAAGGTTAATAAGGGAATATACTGCATAGGTTCAGGTCCTTGATTCCGGACACATTGAGCATTAACAAAAGCAGTCCAATTTGGATAAAATTGTGGTTCCTTTCCAGTAGATTTCTTGTCATGATAACTGTGTGTGGGTTTTAGCCAGACATGCCTAGCATTGGGATCAACAAACTTCAGCCCCAGCCCGAACATTGGGCCTAGACCACTTTATAGGCAAACCTAGTGTAACACCCACACCATCTCCCTGCACGCACGCGAGTCTTGCTCGCCCTTTTTCTACACTAGGCCATCACCAAGTCTAGTTACTTGTACTAGACTTGACTGAAAGCTTCTAGAAGACTCCAAAACTATGTAGATACTTGTAGTAGGGACATGAACATCCTAGAACCTTGTAGAGACTTGTACAAAGGGCAAGAATCATCTTGAGTAGTGTAGAAAGTTCTAGGACATGTAAGGACTTTTGTGGAAGGGTCTAGAAAGTCCAAGATCCTTGTAGGATCTAGAGAGTTCCTTAGAGGAGGTGGTGCCTATAAATAGAGGAGGCCTCCTCATTTGCAAACCATTCAAGCCTTGAGAGCTCACTTGTACTAGAGTTTGAGTAATACAAGCATTTCCCTTCAAGTTCTCTTTTCTCACTTTCTCTAGCCAAAACACTTGCATACACCGAGCACGATCCCGAGCAAGGTGAGGCTGACTTAGCTAGTTGCGAAGGGCGCACAAGAGGCTAAGGCCGCACGTAACCAAGTTCGAGAAACAAGGCCGTGACACTAGGCTTGACATAGGCTAACCCAAAAGCCCAATCACTATTATATATCTACACAACTTTGTAAATATGTATGATCTCACCTCTTCATTTTTCTCTTAGCATTTGTTTTCTCTCAAAATATATTATTTCTGTAATAGTGAGCATACTTAAGATATATATATATATATATATATATATATATATATATATATATATTTTTTTTTTTTCCTTAAAAAAGTCTTCAGTTGCAAATTGCACCAATTTTTTTCAAACTTTCCCTTGTACAAAATGCGCAATTTGTAAGGGTTTATGCTTGAACTATTCACAGCCTTGGGCCCAAACCTGAACCTTAGCAATTGCTGAAAGGAAATTTGGATTTGGGTACCTCAGACTGGGCCCAACTTGACAGCCCATGAACAACATTTTGTGTTATCTATTACATCTATTTTTCTATTCATGTTTTGTTATTCCTACTAGCCAGTATTTTTGTTCCTACTAGTCCATGTTATGCCAATAACCATTGTACTTTGTTATGCCATATCATATGAAAGCAGCCCATTCTGTTCACAGAAATAGTTCTTCAAATTAATGTAATGGTTGGCTTATTTTCTACCCATTAAGGGAGGCCAGTTCCAACACATGCCATACAATATCAAATTAAAATAGAAAAAATAACAAGATTACAAAATTTATTAAATAGTATAAATTAAAAATAGGTGTATGCAGTTGTAAATTTGTATGAATAAACCTGCAAGCATAGAATCTCAATGGTAGACCAAAATATAAAATTACCACAGCCAGAGAAGTTCAGCAATTGCCCATTATTGTCCAGCATATAATAAACCTGTAGAAATGAAGAAACGTTTCATAAAGAAAAAGCAAATCATTTTATAACATTCTATGTAACTAACATCACATAACAATTTTGTTAGTGAATAGTTGACCTCAAAGCTAATTAGTGTTTCCAATGACAGGTAAAGAACTTGAGAGAGAAACTCGCCAAGAATAGTTTTAAATTGTATTCGAATTTAGAATTATAAAATGAGAGAAAGTTGGAATTATACTTGTAAAACTTCTAAGGAAACTGAATTCATTTATCCCCTTAAGATGGTTTCATTTTATATGTTCAACAGAGTATATAATTTTCTCCTTTCAAATTCTTGTCTTTCTTTTACCTCATTTTGTATTTAATCTATATACATAACATATGTTGTGAATTCTTAAAAGTTATTGTTAACTGAAAAAATAATATCTCTTAAAGTTCTTTCCACACACAAGGTACAGTAGGCTGTGTATAGGACTAACTACTGCATAAAATCATTAAAATCAGACTGCAAGAGTTAAATTTACTTGAAATATTCCAACATGAAAGTAACACAATCTGTCAAAACAATAATTGCAAATTGAAATTACCTTATTATCTATGCCACGAAATGAGGTAGTGTAAGGATTATCATCATCAGCCTCATTAGTATGATTATAGACAACATCCAAAATAACCTGTGTACGGATAAGATTTGTTGAGCCAAGAGGTATACAAGACTTAAGATATATAAAATAAGACAGAACCAGGAAATAACCATGTCAAGTAGACTTCCACTCCAAAGTTGTAACAGTGAAATATTAATATTACTACCTCTATACCAGAAGAATGTAAGGCTTTAACCATTTCTTTGAACTCTCGAGAAGCATTAACTGATCCTCCACCAGCACTAGCATAGCGACTCATAGGAGAAAAGAAATTTATTGTTGAATAACCCCATGTATTAATCTTGGGAAGCAAAAATACAACCATTAGAGTCATATATGATATAACAGCCACTTGGTAGACCAAATTTACATAGTCAGAATTTCTTCAATCATCAAAGAAATATACCATTCAAAAACACAGTTGGTCTTTTAAGATTTTCACATTAACTCTGAAATGAAAATAAACTTGTGCTTCCAATATTTATTATTCAATTATCATGCACTAAGTTTCTTCAGAGATCATGTATAAACAGCAGGAAACTTTATTCATTTATTGGGATACACGCACACAGTACATAAGGAAGAGCTTCAGTATTAACTTTGATACAAAATACAAAGAATAATACTTTTCTAGATTACCATGTGATCTCTAGGATTTGGACGCCTCTGGAATTCCAACTCGTCAAACTCAAAGACAGGAAGCAATTCAACTGCATTGATACCAAGCTCTAGAAGGTGTGGAATCTAATAGACAAACAATAACATAAATTTAAATAAAGAAACACAATAAATTTGTGGTGTGCAAAGATTTATTGGGTCATGTATTCTTATGAGATATCAGAGAAATATTCGATTAGCCCAGTATATGTATAACTTAGCTCTTTTTGGAAAGTCTATCCTATCTGGATTTGAGAGTTATATATCCCTGCCAAAGTAAGATTAAAAAAATTGGAAATTTCTTACTGTATTTAGACTCTTCTGAAACATCAAAATTAGTTCCCTTCTATCTACTGGTGGAAGAAGGAGATTCCTTCTATTACTTTTTTCAAAAAGTCAATGTTATTCCATCAAGGGTTTAAAACTGCTACAGAACTTCAACATTACATTTCGAAAGTAACATCATCCCAATATTCAAATTTCCATTTTTGTAAGTAAAACATTTTTTTCTCAGTTGTTTATATTTTAATACTAAACTTCTGTTGGGGCCAAAGGAAAACTTCAATCTATTTCATGAACACAAGGGTTTTTTTAGGTTCAAACCTGCTGCAATTTGACAGATTTTGGACAAACACTTCACAAGGAAATATGTTAGACACATGCCATGGTAGGTGGTGAAGTGTGTGTGAGAGGAGAGTAGGCTGACGAAAGCACCATTGATGGGGAGAGGGATAATTATTCTATCACCACTCCTAATTCTACAACTAAAAGAGGTAAAATTAACAATTCTGATTCTTCATTGATAATGATAGGTGAATACAATATATTTATAACAAATAAGTAATACCCAAACAAATTCCCAACGAACTCTATTCTAGAACCTACCTAAATGATAAAGTATCTATATCTGTCTATTACTATTAAAAGACAAATAAAAGGATATTATTCTCTTTATTGGGCCTCAGAATAGTAGATAATCCGTAACAAAATACAACTTTAAAAAATTTATACTCATGCATAGAAGTGATGTTTCATATTTTTCTTAATTATAAGACAAATATTACCTTTTCAATCACACCAAGGTAGCTGCCACGAATGTTGCTATCCAAACCACTAGATTCATCAATTGTAAATGCACGGACATTCATCTCATATATAACAAGATCTTTCTGCATTTGCAGCAACAAAAATAATGAAAATGGAAGTGTACATTAGACTTCATTCAACCAGAAATATATTGTCAGTCAAAGGAAGAGTATACATCAGTTGTAATAGCAAACAAAGCGAAGGTAGAATGCTAGCTGTAGACATAGTTATGCATAAATCAGCTTGTACAAAGCCTTGATCTAGCAAAAATATTGTAATTACCACTTATAAGCAATGACCACCATATATGCAGGGAAAATACCTCAGAAATATTTGGAAGCTTGTAATTTTCTCCCCAGTCAAAAGGAAGGCTGTCAAAATCAAATGTGCCAAGAAACGTAGACAACTTCATGTTAACATCCCCAAAATATCTTCGACCTTCAACTAGTTTTGCATAAGGATCAACAAGCACAATGCTGCTGTCAAATCGATGCCCCTTACCCCAGTCCTGAGGTCCATCTATGCGATATCCATAGAGAACATTGCTTTGAGGGAGATCCTGCATATTGAAAATTGAAAATATACTTAAATGCTTCTTTTAGTCACCTTTTCGTAGAACTAGGTCATGACATAAGAAAATAAAGAAAATAGATGAAGTGATAGAAAAGTATATTTTTCTTTAGTACAAATATGCAACTCTTTTGTGATAGAGCTAGATACAACTGTATTATTCTCTTACAAGTAGCACTCAGGATTGACCTCTCCCCACTCTAAGACTCCAATCCTTTCCAAATGACAAGATAAATCTCTCTCAACCTCTCTTCTTGTTTATAATCAACATGCCTTATATCTTATTATTACCCCAACCCAACCAACTCCCTCGCTAACAATTACTAGCAAATATCTGATACTAACAGACACGTAACAGTTTCTAGGAAAATAATTATTTACTACCCAAAAACACATTCAAATTCTGTAATTTGAGCAACTAACTTGGATAGAATATTAAAGATGTTGGAAACCCCACATCAATTAGAGATATGACTAAATTATAGTATATAAGTGAGATGCAAATTTCACATCACAAGCTGGTTTTATAGGGTTGAATTAGATACATTTTCATTTCAAATATGATTTAGAGTCTATCCTAACAAGGGTTGTTGGGCCTATCACTCCATCCATTATTGGGCTGCTATTGGACCACTTATAAATTTTTGTTTCACGCTCTCAAGATGTCTATTCCTTAGCATGAGAGATTGTGTTGGAGTCTCACATTGACAACAAAATTATAGTATATAAGTAAGATACAAACCTCATCTTACAAGCCGGTTTTATAGGATTGAGTTAGACACCTATCCATTTCTTATAAAAATGTAAAGCCAATGAGTTTGTAGCTCAATTGGTTCTAGTACTAGTCTTTGAAAAAGTGACAACATTATCTACAAATTATAGTAGGTTAAATAAGAACAGTTTGATGTAGATTTAATTATTTATGCTAAAGAAATTCAAGCAAGAAGTGCAACAAATTGTAGACAAGTTCAAGATCAACCAAGTTAAGTGACACAAACAAATCAATGAAGTTTCCTATGAGTGTATTGACACGCCTTTTAATAGAAAAAGAATCATTATACATGAAAGTGGAAAATTGCAACAAGGGAGCAATGAAGAGATCCTTAATAATCAAAGACATTGCTGGCAAATGTTTTTCCCTTTCAACAAGTTAATTCCTCCTTAAAGAGTTTTTTCATCCATATACATATTTCAATATCAAAAGTCAGGAAGGATTAAATAAAACACTTACATGAAATTTTTAATAGATTTTTCATTTACATAGTCATCATGATATATCAAAAACAAATTTAATGCATACAGTCCAACTACATTTAAATCTAAACTACACCACTTCGACACTAAAGTAATCATGTGGGGATCCAAGGTGACTATCCAGAGAAACATGCCATATAGTTCCTACCACATTGACAATATTTTGGAAAATATATTAACAATGTAAGGTATTGCATAGAAATATACACATTTTATGCTCAAATATGCAGAAAAATGTCATTTATTTAAACAATTTGGAAAGCTACTCTAGTAATTATGCAGGTGTTGTATTTTTTAAGTTGTTACAGAATCTATAACAACAATTTCAACAGAAGACCAAGGCAAGGCTAACGTCTAGGCAATCTAATAGAATATACCTCAATACATATGTGCCAAATGTCCCCGGTTTTGTTCAAATTAGGATCAAAGACAATTTCTATCATGCCACCATCCAATGGGTCAATACTTCCCCTACAACAAAATAAGTGTGCAAAACAAAAAAGGAATATTAACTTTCTTTAAAAAAAAAGTCAAAAGATTTGGCAGTCTGCATCCTCTTCCAAATTTTAGCAGTACTTAAATGAAAAAGAATATCCTCAAAAATTGGACTTATAACATGGAGCTAAATCTTTAATTGACAGAGAGCAAGAAAGATTGAACTGTGGGCCATTTTGTCAATAAGACTACCTAAATTAATAAGTTAAGGTCAATGAATGGTTATTATAAATTTATAACATTAACACCCATAAACCAAAGCTACAACAAAAAAGAAAAAAAAAACAACTTTTAGCTTACTTACACTTCCCTAGTATGAACAATATCCAAAGTTTTGGGATTTATTTAAGTCGCTCCAGTGCCATGAAGCCATGCCAAAAGAAACCCAATCAATATAACCATGTCAAACTGTCTGTGATACATCTTAATCTTGAGCCCAAATGATTGAGGCTTTCTAAATTGCTCTCAAAATCAATGAAATGTTGAATCTCTATTAATAAAGCTCTTGCTTCAAGTATAAGAGTTTTGAGCTTGTATACAAAACATGAAAAATACTCAATGTTAGAAACTAAATACAAAAATGCTTAGATTTTCCTAAAATCAAATTAAAAAAAAAAAAACACATTTTCAAATATATACTTGGGCCTATGAAATTTTATAAAGTTTGAACCTATCACATCTTACATAAAGAATATCTAAATTTACCTCTCTGGAAGGACTAAACAAAGTGTGACAGCAGTTGCATGTTGTGAAAAAATGGAAAAATTGATGCCACTGTCAACTTCTGATACACCTAATGGAAATGCCTGGCCTGGGAAAATTTTCCATGATGGTCTGCTCTCTATCACTTTGGAGGATTCTTCCTGGAATTGCAATCAGTAAAGCATTACCAGTTGGATAGGTTAAAGCATTTGATACATAGATTGATTCCCTTCAAAAGCAGATATGCAAGGTGGCACTTGTCATAGTTGATGTATTCTATTTGATACTCAGGAAAAACATTTGCTATGAGATAAATAAATCTATCAAAGTGCACTATTTAGACAGGCGACTAAACCTATGAAAAATGGAATAGATGCTTTAATTGCATCAATTTCATCCCACTTTATTTGCTTTACAATTAAAATTTGAACTTTCAATGTCATCCTAGAAGTAATGAGACTAACATCAAAGTTTAAAAAGGCTTCCTATCCGTGAACCTTGCTCTTTTTATTTCACATGGACAGATCATAGACATAAGAATTTTTATTTGGATAAACTTTTTCATAGACATTTTTAGGAGAAAAAAGATGAGGAAACATTAAATAGCTTACGTATAATTTCAAAATCATCTTTTAGGCAAGCTAACATAAAATAAGTTCTGCATACTAGTTTACGTATAAACCCCCAATTTTATCTCATGGAGAAACTTGTTTTATTTCTTCTTATATTTGTTCCTAGAAATGCTTACAAAGAAATTTATCTAAGAAAATCCATACATTAAATACTAGGTTGCATTACCAATTCCAATTGTGCTACAATCATGCTCTTTGCTATTTATTGTAAGACAAAAAAGTTCTCATCTTAAGGCCAATGACACTTATTAATGACATAAATACCTCAAGAACCCCCCCTTCTTGAGCACGACCGCCATAAGCATTAGTTGTCCTGTGCTTGGCACGATCCATTGTCTAACCTATGCCAAAATTTCGAATCAAAATTTACATAGCTATGAGAAACCACTCCAAGCACTTGAATGCTTTATAATCACGTACCTCACTAAAAACACCACGTTCATTGTTGGATTTGCTTCCCGATGCTTGCTTCATAAACCTCACCGACCTAAAATAAGCCAAATGACAATTCTCAAAACCACTTGCGCTTACTAGTAAATTAATACATTGCTATTAACAACCAGTCGTACCTCACGTGACGGACGGACGAATTTCCAGTAAACGAACAGCGGGCAGCGTTGTTTCCGGCGGAAAACGCCGAAGCGAAGAATGTGGAGGGAGTGGTGACTTTAGAACCGCAAAGTAATGGCTGGTGGAGCATCGTGAGTGGAGAAGTGAAGGATGTGATTGGATAGTGTAATAATGATGAAGATGAGAATTGAGAAGATGGAAGTGGAGTGTTGCGGTGGTGATGAATGAGATTGAGCGGTGTTGTTCTTGCTATTTGTGGAGAGGCATGGAAGCAACCAATGCGAATTTCATGCCTGACACGTGAATGCTTGTTTGGGAATAGAGACGAGAACGTGACGGTGGAGTGTGTCCGGTGTTGTATTATTGGGACCTCCCTCATAAAATATCTCTCTCATCATCACACTTCTGACTCCAAAATTCGAGTGCGATCATCTACGTTTCTTAGTATGAACTGCCCATGGTGCACTTCTATCCAATGGTTCATAAGCTTTTAAAATTGTATTATCAATTTTTTTTAATCAGAGATCTGAACATTTTATGGTGAGATTAGGATCTGCGCACCTTCCACTTTTAAAATGAGTTCCAGGTTCCCTTAATCCATTAATACTTTACTTACTTTATGACAAAAATTAAATTTTATTAAAAAATATATAAAATAAAAAGACGTTTAAGAACAAAAAAAGAAGTTCAAAAAACTAAAGATACTGGGTTGGAGTTGATAGTTAAACTAATAAATATTAAATATTTTTTTAGTATTATTTTTATTCAATATAGTATAAGATAATATATATAGAGAAAAATCATATCTAATACAGTGGTTTGCACACACAAATTAAGTTATTTTTTTAACAAAAATTCAAGAATTAGTAAGAATAAATGGACACGATAATGGCATTTGACAAGAATGATGGGTTTACTACTTTTCATTAAAAAAAAAAACCAGTATTAAACTTTGAAATTCGGTGATACATTTTTAATAATTATGTATACTAAAATTAAAACAATTTACACATTTATAGATATATTGAATCATGTTAAATGACTATATTATATATAAAAATTGTCAAAACATTGGATTGACTTGTATTTGAATTCGAATTTGTTTTCACAAAATGTTATCAAAATAAACTTTTAACTGTGAAGTAGATTATTCAAATTATTTTACAGTAATATGGGTCATGCACTTCTAATGATAAGGTGTTTATGTTGTGTAATACAAGAAAATACGAAGATAATAGGATAAGAATTGAGAAATAAAAGAAAAAACAAATAAATAAAATACATTTGATTTGGTATTAATGGATATAAAAATAGATTCAATTGATAATATAATAATATTAATTATTATGTTAATATAATAAATTGTCAAGAAAAAAATTTACATCCATTTTTCAATTTATCATTATACAAATATGATATAATTTTCTATAGTTGTCCATCAAAATGAGAAACACTTTTTTTAAAATAGTTATTATATAAGATTTTTTTTTCAATGGGTTGTCTTCCTATGTTATTACAATTAATGTTAATAATAATATTAATACATAAATAATAATAATAATTATTATTATATTTATTATTGTAATTATTTTATTAATATTATTTTTATTAATGAATTATCATAGCAAATTTATAATTAACAATAAAAATATTGATAACATAATTACAATATAGAAATAATAATTACAATAAGTAATCAATATAATAATAAAGTTAATCATAAGTGTTAATTATTTTATTTATAAATATTTTTTTATTATTAAAATTAGTAAGACTATTTTTTTTAATAATAATTTTTATAATAATAATAATAACATTAAAAACTAAAAAAATATCATTAAATAATAATAATAATTATTATTATTAACTAAAAGAAATAACATTAAACTCTAAAAAAATTCATTAACTAAATTTTTCATTAATACTTACCATTGTTAACTTTATTATTATATTTATTATAAATTATACTAATAATAATAATTATATTTATTATAAATTATACTAATAATAATAATTATATTTATTTTACATAATAATAAATAAAAGTTACTTTATTCATTAATATTTTGTTAATAATTTTAATTAATTTATAATAAATTAAATAATAACATAAAAATTTATTAAAATATATAAAGATAAAATGTTAATAGAATAATAAATATTATTATTATTATTATTATATATGCATGTTTAGCTATTGGAAGAATATAAGCCTTTTTAAAAAAATCAAAATTATATTTTTTAATATAATTTCAATGTTAAAAATTTAAGAAATATAAAGAATAATATTTGGAAACAATTTTGTTGTTGGAAAGTTGTGTGTTTCTCCAACATACTTTATTTATTTATAGAATTTAAAAAAAAATTCAAATTAATAATAAAAAAAAGAAATCACCTCTCCCCTAGGGATGACCCTGGTTAAAAGAAAGACAAGTGTCTTAGAAGTGTAGGTAAAGTTTTCCTAGGAAATTCCCTTCCTATTTATTGACCTACCTTAGCTGATATACACATAAAAACTACATTTATCAAACAGTAGGAAAAGATAGTGGAACAGAAAAATTGTTGGTCAAAGGGGGATAGTGAGCATGTTTCGAGGTTTGAGTCTTCAGGCTCCCATCACTTGGTGTTCGTGTTTCAAACCAAACCCCAAAACAAAAACTACAAATATGCTGCCACCGCTACATCCTCGCAGCCGCCAAGGTATTATGCACTCACACCTTTCTTTCACATTAACCTACCCTACCCTAACTTACCTTCGCTACTTTACTCCTTCGTTGTTGCCGTATCTTCTTCATTGCCTCTTTCTTCTTCTTTTTCCTTTTCCTGTGAGTTATTTCTCTTTCTCTCGCACAGACAAACTTTCCTTGCTATGGTATTTTTTTTTTTCTTTTTTTTTTTTTTATTCTTATCTTCTTTCCCTGTCAGGATATACTAGAACTGTGACAAACGAGATGGCGCTTGCTTTTGAGGTTTACATCTACTGCCACATTGTCTCGCTTTTTATTCTATTAATTTGTTGCCTTTGTTGTTAAATCAAATTGAATTTTGTTAACGGAGCTTTGAGTTTTGTTTTAGTTCATTTAAATGTTTGTGGCTTGATATGTGTTTTGTCATGTCTGCCAGTGCATTGTAATTGAGTTATTCTTGGAAATTTACCCTGTATTTTATTTTTCTCAGGTTCTTGGCAGATTCAACCGTGCCCGCGCTGCCAGGTTGACACTCCCGCATTATGCGTGTCAAACTCCTTTGTTTATGCCTGTCGGCACGCAAGGTCAAAGTTCAAACTTGATTCTTCCTTATTGATTGATTGCTTGAATGTGATAAATACAAATTTTGTAGTGCTTTTCTTCTCTTCCTCGAAGATTGGTTTTATATGATAAATCTCTTTCAGACTAGAAGGTAGGTGACTAGGTGATATAAAAAATTCTCCTTAACTGCCATAAAATAATCCCTCGAGATTAGGAGGTACTATGAAAAAAAATCTTGAGGTGAGGAGTGAGGGAGGGCGATGAAAAATTCTCCCTCGAGTTACTATGAAAAAAGATCCCTCAAACATATAGATGAGGGGTGAGGAGGGCAATGAAAACAAATCTCTTGAGATAAAAACCTCAAGGTGACGTGGTGCGATGAAAAATCCCTCTGAGACGAGGGCGTGCGATGAAAAATCCTTGCGAAAAGAGGCAATGCAATGAAAAAACCCCTCGTCTCTCGAGACGAGGGAGTGTGACGAAAAAAAATCCCTCAAGACGAGGGAGTGTAATGAAAAAATCCCTCGAGACGAGGGAGTGCCATGAAAATCCCTACAAAATGAGGCAATGCCATGAAAAATCCCTACGAAATGAGGCAATGCTATGAAAAAACCCCTCGAGATGAGGGGCTGCGGTGAAAAATCCACTTGGTGACGGGGGCGATGAAATCTCACATTGATTATATATATTCTAACATTATAGAATATAGGGGGAAACAATCTTTGTTTTATTGAGTTGATGGTGTAGAATTGAGTTTGATATTTCACCCTTTCTAATATTTTTGCAAACACACATAACTCTTACGACAATTTTCTCTTGTATTTATTCATTCTCTTTCAATATTCTCTCCTTCTAATTAATTCCTCGCAAGAAATCCAAAAATAAAAACTATTTTGTTTAAATTATACTTCGAAGTAATTTAAAATATATTCATAAGTTTATTTTGAATTATAATGTAATTTAATTTATATATAAATAAAATATATTTAAAATAAAATAAATATTTTAATATATTTTAAATATTTTAAACTAAGATAAATATTCTAAAAATTATAAATATTTTGTTTAATTAATCAAACAATATTTTTTATGATGAATGTTATAGGATTTTATAATTTTAATAAATAATTAACTTTTATTTTTTTTCATATTTAATAAACTAGTGAATTGTCGTTCACATAATCAACTATTTTTTCACATTAATCAATAAATTATTGGATTAACGTTCACATTGTTTATAATTTTTAAAATATCTATCTTAATTAAAAATAATTTAAAATATATTCAAGAAATTATTTATCTAAAATATATATATTTTTTAGATCTAGACTAAATTATATTATTATCAAAATAAATCTTTAAATATATTTTAAATTAAAGTATATGTTTTTTTTAATTTAATTAATTTTTTATTTTAGGTAACTCATGTGGAAATATTTAAAGAGAAAGAAATAAAAGAAGAAAGAAGAAGTGCATGTTTATATATATATGAATTACTCTTTTCTTGGAACATGTTGACTCATAAAAGAATATGACATCATATTTAATTCAAAATCCTCAGACATTAGGTTTTGAGTTTTTTTTTGTTATAAGTTATTTAGATTTTCCAATTCTATTGAATATGAAATTTTGACTTATACTTGTATTCCAAACAAAATATTGTTATTTCCATTGTATGATATGATTGTCTTGGTTTGTTAGGAATTTGGTGGATTGCTTAGTAGTTGTGGTTCACTTGAGATGCCGCAATTTTGTCTTATAGATAGGATGTTTGAATAAACAGGAACAATAAAGGGATTGACAAATAGCCAGCTCGAGGATATTGGTTGTCAAATAATACTTGGAAATACGTATCACTTGGCCCTTCGACCTACTTCTGAGCTTCTTGATGAAGTTGGTGGTCTACATAATTTTATGAATTGGCAACGGGGTCTGCTTACAGACTCTGGTGGCTTTCAAATGGTAGTGTATGACCTTATGTTTATTTGGTTCTAGTTTTCATTAACATCTTTCATCCTGGATAATTTAGTGTAATATTTTGTCATTTATTGCTTAACATTATTGTTGTTACCGGAGTTTGAAGAGGACGTTCGAGTTTAAATAAGTATATGAACGAAAGCAAAGTAGACTGTGAATGAGCCGATGATCCCCAATGGGACATTATAGGGGAAAATATTATCCCTATACAGATATTTTATTCCTATTTATTAACAGATATTTTAGGTGGTTTTTTATTATCTCGGGATGAGATGGTGGTCGAATATCTTGGATATCACTGAGATATTCGGATATTGCTGAGATATTTGGTCCAAGGATCTCTATGGTATTTGATTGTTAAGGGACTGGTTAGTACAATTACAAAATGTTCAGTCATATTGAAGTTGTTTAGAGAAGTGATGAACGTAACTCAGCAGAAATGAATGGTGAGAATAGGCTTAACAACAAAAATATGTTATGTGATTGGACCAATATTACATTTGTTGATTGATAATAATGTTCAGGATCTGTATTAATGAATTCATTTTTGTTTCACTGCTGTTTTAGGTTTCTCTGTTGCATCTTGCTGATATCACAGAAAAAGGAGTGACATTTCAGGTATTTTTTCCCCTTTCAAGATATAGTCAATATTTCAAAGGTGTGCCCTGCTTCACTCGTGATCAGTGTTCTAAATCTGGTTTGTCAACGTGTTTTCCAAACTACCAACTTTGACTGCATACCAGTTTTATTAAACCCTAAACCACCGATAGCATTTTTACCCCCAAAATTGTTAAAATTTAAGCGTTGAAATCCCATATTAAATAAAATGATGAAATTGAATAACATAAAAATGAGAAAGACCCACAAATCTAATACTTTAAAGTTTTGTGTTGGAGGTAGGGTCATATTCTTTATATTAGTTACTTGTCTCCTTTTGATTAAGCCCAAAAAATTGATTTAGACTAGTAAAACAATTGTGTGGTTCTCTGCCAAATTGAAAATTTGGCTTAACTGGATCAAACATGTACTAAGTTGTCAATTTTCCCAAGCATCCATTGATTTCAGGTTTTATAGTCCAAAATTGTTAAAAATTCCAGAGAAATTGATGGATACTTCCATTGTCTAATTAATTAGAATACTGGATGGGATAATACCAACACATGGATACCCGTTTATTTATAAAATTTAATTGTCTATCAACTATTACATATATATCATGATTATGATTTTTTATATTTCACACTGATTTTTTACTGTACAAGCACATAACAATATTATGTGATGCTAATATATCCCTTTTTGGTAAATTCATGCTTACATGTAGCTACCCGTGGGTAGTGGCTATCCATTGCTAGTGTCTGAATACTTACTTGTTAATATAACTAGGGATGGATACAGGGGAACACTACCCTTACTCGCATTAACCCGATTGACATCCCTTGTAGGCATGATATCATAATATTAAAATTTGAAGTGTTGTTGCCTCTTGCATTTTACAATAGATGGTATAGTGGTTGTCATTTTTCACTCAAAAGATTGCATTTATCTAGTTACTTTATCAATAAATTCAGTGAAGGTTTATGGAATTATTGTAATGAAGTAGAGTGCCATCTTTTGTTATTTGCATTGTAACAAAAGTTTATTCCCTTGCTGCAGTCACCAGTTGATGGAAAACCAATGCTTCTAACACCTGAGGAATCAATTCAAATCCAAGTAAGTAAAATGCCTTTCTCCGTATTTTTCTTTTAATTTACCTGGGTGCTTTCTTTTTGCTCGTATTACATTGTGTTTAAAAATGCATAGGAAATTATGCTAGTCTGCATAATGTGATTTGCTTTTAAATAAAGTATTTCCCTGTTTTAAATTAGTTATTTCTACAGTATTTCCAATTTGAGGGAGGGTGTTCTTTAGAACTTCCATTAACATTTAAAATTTTGCCCTTATGGAAAGGTCTTGTCCTTTGATCTTCCCTTCCAATTTTCCCCTTAATGCAGATTTTTCTGTTCATTCAACTTTCTCGTAATTAGTTTATAGAAAGCAATTGCAAATGGAAATTCAAGACAGTCTGTAGTACTCTTCAGTTTACTACCAATGGAACATGGCTACTTATTGTTAGTCATTCATAATTTTGTTTATTTTTTCTAGATATTTCTTTCTGTACATGGAAAATGTCCCTACTTAGTCTATTAACAGTCTATATATACATACATTCTACATAACTATTTTATTGTACAATCAACCAATTTCACTTGAACACTTCTATCCTTTCTCCCTCTATATTACTTTCTTTCTTTATCTCTAAATTCAATGTTAAGATATTCATTTGTTGTTGTGACAGTTTTTACCCCTAAAGCATTTTAAAGATTTGATGCGCATGTTTTATGTGCTTACATATTTTTGTCATAAATTATGCAGAATAGAATTGGAGCAGATATCATTATGGCTCTAGATGATGTTGTGAAGACCACCATTACTGGTCCACGCGTTGAGGAAGCTATGTATAGAACACTTAGATGGATTGACAGATGTATAGCAGGTAAATATTGAAGTGGATCATAGAGTGACAAGAAGGAGAATTGAATTGTAACCCTTGACAATCTTTGGCCTAACTTGCACAATTCATAATCTTGTAATGCAATAAGACTTTGTTCTGTTTTCTAAACAGAAAGTAATCCTCCACTTTCAATTATTTATTCTCTATTGTGAACATGAGTGCAACTGAAAAACATTCTAAAATCAACTTGCACATTATTCAAGCTGACTTAAGAAGCAACCATTAAACCATAGCAGTTCATCACTGAAATAACCTTAACAATTCTAGATCTTATGAATCATAATGTTGATAACGGTTCTTATGGGACTGAATAATCCTTATAACCCCTTTACTCCTATGATGGGATTCTCTCTTTTTCTAGATGTTCTTCTCGTATTCTCTTGCTGGTAGGTTGTTAATGTGTAATCATGAATAGTGCATACTTTGGCATCGCCACTTATTTATAGTATTCTTAATGTAGCTATACCTTGTGAACCTTGGATATTTATCCAGAGTGCTTGATCGCCTTGTTTAATATAATTAAGTTGATTATGGGTTAATTCCATCTGAAAGACCCATGTACTCTGATCAATATCTGGTATGCTGAGAAGTATTCAGCATGCTTACAGTACAATAACTATGCACATATTTGAAATGGGACAAACATCTAAATTTTTGCTTTTCATTTCTTTTGTAATGGCTATTTGAGTTGCATATCACTTGGTTGTTGGACTGCCATTTCTTCATAATGAAAAATCTAGTCTTATTGCAGTAATATATTTACTTCCTTAATATTATTTAGTACACAATTTTGTTGTATATTCTATTTCCTGGTGAAGATAGAACTGTAAAAGACAATGGAAGGGAAAGATTATATAGTTTGCCATTCTTGAGTTCTTTTTATTCAATCACTAGCACATTACATACTTTGTTATAGAAGAGAGGGTGAAAGTGATGTATGTTTTTCTCTTAGCATGTGCTATGTATAAAATTCTGGTCAATAATGTCACGCATGGTCAGTTTGTAAAAGGTTTGATCTTTTAATTTTTGCATGAATTTTTAATAGAAATAATAGGCCATATTTTAATTATATTCATATAGTTTTCTAGCATTGCCTACTCTGCATGCCAAATAACGATTCATGTTGCCTTGTGTATCAGCTCACGAGAGACCTCATGATCAAAACTTGTTTGGTATTGTGCAAGGTGGTTTAGATCCTATTTTGAGGTGAATTCCAGCACAAAAAACATAACCTTCTTGCTATTTGTTCTTCATTATATGTGATTACTGCTGTTTCACCAGTGTGTAAATTGTATATTGCTTATACATTAAGATATTTTGTAATCAGGGATATCTGCGTCAAAGGTTTGGTGGAGCGCAATTTGCCTGGGTTAGTGTAAATTCTTGTCAACATGTAAACTGTTTGTGGTTTTTCCAATACTTCTATTTTTTGGCTGTAAGAAAACGACTAGAGTGTACTGGACCTACTGGCCAGTTTGATTTGGCTTGGCTTTGGACACAGTTGCCTTCCTAAACCGAACTTGGTGAAATTATTCATAATTCGTATGTGCAATGTATTTATTTCCTCTTTAAAATATGATAAGTTTTATGCTTAAAAATAATATACATTTAACTTGTGAGTTGGCTATTATCTCCCCCCTCAGATCATAATATCCATATTTAACTTTTTTTGGAGGGAGGGGGACCTTTGCCTGATATGATTTTTTAATTCACTGGACTTAATTGCCAGTGTCAAAGATTCATGATTTATGGTTGTTTGGTGGAGAAGAAATTGAAGGGAGAGGAGAGGGATGAGATTAATTTTGATTTTTTGGTGGGAGAGAAGATAGTGGAAATAATTTCAAAATTGGTGGAATCTATTGTACTATTTCTCATCTATTTCCACTCGCGTCTCTATCTCTCTCCTGAACTTACCAGGGATGGGGATGCCAGAAAACGTAATTCATATTGAAGACTTTATTCTAGTATATAAGACACTTTGAACAATGTGCATCAAGATTTTTTTTAATGAATTTATGCAAATTAGAATGAACCTGACAGACTATCCCTCACAATCAGCACTGCAAAACATGTATTTTTTACATGGGAATGTTTGAATGCTTTTACTTGTGCTCGGTGTTCCTAGCAAATGACGTAATTTTCATATAGACATAAGTTGCTTTTATATATGAACACCTACCTGCACACAGAAGAGTGTTGAAAATTGAAATTAATAGTTTTTTTCAGCAGTTATGTGGAATTTAATATAATTTTCTTTTGTCACAGCTATGCTATTGGAGGTCTTTCAGGCGGTGAAGATAAAAAATCATTTTGGCGAGTTGTTGCTCAGTGCACTGCTGCTTTGCCAGAGGATAAACCACGATATGTTATGGTCAGAATGAGTTCATCATATGAACCTTTTTTTATGAAAAAAAATCAGTGTAAATGTGTAATGTCATCAAATTTTGTATGAACTTTCAGGGAGTTGGTTATCCACTTGATATAGTTGTTTGTAGTGCTTTGGGTGCTGACATGTATGACTGTGTGTACCCTACCCGTACAGCACGCTTTGGCACTGCTCTGATTCCTCAGGTGGTCATTTTTTATCCTTTTTATTGATAATTTATGACATTCTTTCTTCACACACACATAACAGTCTTATACAAGTATCCAACTATCCATGATTTTTATTATTATCCTACGGAACAAAACATACTGTTCCTAATAACTGTACAAGGACTAAGGCACTGGTAACCAAATTGCAATAATTGAAAAAACTTAACTTTAACAGGTAAAATGATGTTGGTTCTAGTGATTCAATTTTTTACTGCACTGGTTTTAATATATTTGCAGTAATACTAATTCTAAAAAATTTCTCTAAATTCCACTCATTTATGTGCAATTTATTTTTTAACTTAATTTTTTCTTTGCAGGGAGTATTGAAACTAAAACACAGAGCAATGGCTGATGACACCCGTCCAATTGATCCTACTTGCCCTTGTATGGTATGTTTTACAAGGTCTATTTTTTATTTGATAAACCAGTTTGCAGAAACCAGAAAAGTGTTTTAGTTTATTTCTTCTGTCACAGGTTTGCAAGAACTATACCCGGGCTTACATCCATTCCCTTGTGACAAAGGATGCAATGGGGTCTCAACTTTTGTCGTATCATAATTTATACTACATGCTGCAGGTACAAGCAATATCATCAATGAAAGGACTATATAACTGTATTGTGTTAAATGTGTATGATTACAGTCATTTCAATCCAAAATTTGCAGCTTAGTAGGAATCTACACTCTTCAATAGTTGAAGGACGGTTCCCAGAGTATGTTCATATTTAATTTCTCCTCCCATTTTAACTCACTTTTCATCTGAATTGACACTTACCATACAACAATTTCCTCCCTTCTATATATGGTAATAACCATTTTTCCCCTTTTGTAGGTTTGTATGTGACTTTCTACACAAAATGGTATGCTAGAGAAATCCGCATCAACCTTTCTTTAATTTTAAGCGCATTACATTGACTTCTTTTATCAAAGTCTTCTTACCCCCTCCCCTTCCTCCCCCATTAAACTCGTTTTATGCTGTAGCTATAGATCTGTCAATTCTACCCTTAAATATTTGTTAAAACATGAAAGCAAAAAGTAGCCCTTAAATATTTGTTAAAACTTAAAAGCAAAAAATAGCAGAGAACGGAAGGTGGGGTGATTTCTCTGTAAGTGAATCTGGCATTAGAGGGCATCGACCCATCTCTAGTTTTCTGCTGTCTGCAAATGAACATAACATGGCAGTTGGATAGAGCTAAAGAAACCAAGAGTACAAATAGAATATGACTATTTTTGTTTTGATCAAGTATTATGACAATTAAAATTTATTACGCTGTTGTTTAAGTAGATGGGTATTTTGATAGGTCCTGCTTCCTGAAAAAAAGGAAGATCATAATAATGATTCCAAATCGTGGGAGGTTGACGAAATTGTAATTTATTTGTCTATTATTAATATATTTTTATCTATACACAGCACAAAACGTATCTCCATGAGACTACATGTTTTTTCTGTTTGGTATATTTCTTTTTGTATCACTAATGATTGATTACTGCTAATTTTTTATTTGAATGAGTTTAAAAACTATGTAGTGCCACTATCATAGTTTTACACTATCAACCAATAATAAGATATTGTTGGTATGGTTTTTAAAGAATCCTATAAAAGTTAACGAACTTACCGACAATGAGTGATTTAAATGACACTGTAAAAATCTCACTCTCAGTGCATTTACTATTTAATTTTTTTTTTCTTTGTACTTTCTTCTTTATACCTAAGTTGAATTGATTGGGAACCATATCACCTTTCCCTTTGCAATTCTTGTCAATCAATACCTGATAATTGATGGTACAGTGCTATAGTTACCTAAGGAAAGACAAAGATTAAACCTAACCTTGCAAGGGGTAAGTTTTGTAACCAAGCTCAGGCTATCGCCCCTTAAAGGCCAGAAGGAGTTTTTTTCCGAAAGGGTACATAATTCATAGAAGTTCTTACCCAAACTTAGCCTTTCGGGGCTACTTCTATCTACCCATGCCCTTCATTTTATTAAAAGAATAGAATAGATTTTGATTTTCTTGCCATCATTCTTTTTTAGTTTTATTTTGGTTTCAAATTAAAACCTGTAATATATTTCAGTTGACATTATTTTTTTCCAATCAAAGTAGCTGTTAGACCTACTTACTTGTTCATGCTGCAGTTTCCGAAAGGTGATGTTCCTGAATGGGTGTGCGATGCTATGGAGGTGGCTGGAATCGACATTTCTTCCTGCTGTGCTCCATTTTCATCGTGCCAACATGATTCCAAAAGCATGCCCGAAGAAGTTAGTTTAGCGAGGTAAAATGATACACACAGAAGAACAGAAACAAAAGTTACATTGAAAAGATACACTATTTATTATGATTTTTTGCGGCATAAATTTTGTATTCTGCTTATGCCGCTTCAGTAAAAATTATGTAAGGTTAGGTTCCTTTAGGTTCTTATTTATGACCCATATATTTGTTTCTTGTATTCTAGAGAATGTAAACCGACGGATAGGTTATTATTGATTCATGGATTGTTTTGTTTCCAAAGTGCACTTTTGTTTCCACAAGTTATCCCCGTCTAAGTTCATGTGTTTAACGCAATTAATGGAGCAATCCTGCGTGAAAAATTTATAACCATTTGTCCTCAGTAAGAATTCTTCCAAATCATAATACTGATGATATTTGAAAAAGTAACTTATGAAAAACTTTATCGCTGTTTATTTAGATGCACTTTGTAATTTCTTCATGTTTACTATCTTCGCTCCTACATTTAGAAACTTCTAGAGCAATGACTAATTAGAACTCTTTCTTTCTGAATTTCCATAACAAGAAGTAATTAGAATTTTTCCTCAAATTTATGGTGACATTAACGAATAATTTTAGGATTAAATAATTTATATTAAGAACACTAGTTCTAAATTATTTTTAATTATTTAAAATGATATATAATTTTGTTCTGTTTTAATATAATAACTACTTAATATTATTTTTCTTTTATTTTAAGATGTTTAATGCAGAAGAAAATTTAGCACAGTTTATTTTTTATATTTTCTTTACTTTTTTTCTATGGTTCACGTAGAAAAAAATTTCATGGAAGAAATGATATTTAAAATTTTCACATTCAAATTATTTTCTCCAATTAAAATATCATATTAATATATTAAATAACTCCCTAAATCAGCGAAATATTTCAATTATTAAATTATATTTCTTATTTTAGTAATTCCCAAAAATTATAATCCCCTGTATTAAAAAAAAATTTTTAGATCCAACGTCACACTACTCTAAAACCTATTTTCTATTTTGTTTTAATGTGTATATTTATAAGAAATATGTTTTCTATGTACGTATTTTTATTAAATTAATATATTTTTGTCCTTCTACCCGAAACCCTTACGGTGCCACACTCCCACTGTCTTTCTTCTTTCTCCGCTTCCTCAGATTATTCCTCATATAACGCATAGCCGGCTCTCTGCGATTTTCAGGTATACTTTGACCCTCGTGTTACATAATACTTTGTTTTATTGTGTCTTCACTTTTATTTGGTCTTCTCTGCATCTTTCTGTTTTTTTGTTAACTATTGTTCTGTGGGAAGCTTTTAGGGTCATTTAATTTGTGTAAAAAACTGGAACTTTGGGGGTATGGCAAGATAATTTGTTGAGTCTCTCGGAGAAGGCTAATACCTAGTTGCTAGTGCCTGGTACAATGAGTTCGATCTGCCTAACAATCACTCAAAATGTATTATGTATTTGTTTGTAGGGTCTGGTTAAATAGACATTTTGGAAAGCATTTGCATGAACAGAAAATTAAAGATAAAATGACCCCCAAGGCATCACATGGGTCTCTCATAACCTTCTGCATCTCAAGCTTTTTACTCACAGCAAGCCCTTTCCTCATTTTTTTATTCTTAATCAGTAACCATCTGCCTTTTGAGATGTAGTGGAGTTTTTCATCTTGTTATTCTTTCAACACATTACGTGTGGCAAGGGAGAATTAGAATCACTCTTATCTGTTGTTCTTATTTGTGGATAACAGTTTGTGCTTCTCCTTAATTTGTTTACCTAGTTATTGCTTCCAATCTATTTTGGGTCAAATGTGCAATCATGTTATAGTTTGCATCACTTATTGAGCATTTATAAATGATCTGATGTGATGGGTGACACTGATGCCTTGTTTCGGCTGCTTTAAGGATTTGGAGATTTAATGCATATTTGCCTATGACCTATCTGATGAAATGCCTAAACTTTTCAGAAATAATTTACTGAATATGTTGACAGTTGAATTTTTAATGAACGGATGTCTGAAAATTGTCTTTTGTTTTACTATTCTCCTGTGATTATTTGATGGTGTTTTATTTATTAGATTTTGTTTCAAAAAGGAGTGTTGTTTTGGATATGAGGGATTAGAAAAAGAAGTCCAATTGGTATAATTTAATTCATAAGTGTATTCATCCTTTGTGGTCTGGACATTATTCATGGATCCTATAACCTGAATTGTGTCTTCTAAGTTTGGAAAGGATGGCTTGGAAACAATTCATACTTCTGTGAAATAGATGTTACCAATGCAAGCCTGACATTATCTAAAAAATAATTAAAGTGATCCAAATAATAATTATATGATCAAATGTGGGTTAACGAATATGGGTGGGTAAAGATTAGTTCCCTTTCCTTACTTCTCATTTCCCCAAACGGACCTTAGCTCAAATTTCTTTCCTTGAATTCTCTGTGAAGCCATCACCTGTCTTTCTATATCGCCATACTATTTGTGTTTATATATGTCAATCCTTGACTCTGACATATACATGTTTGGTTTTTGTGATTATGGGTTTGTCACTTGTAGAAAAAAGATGCCTCTGGGGCTCATTTTAGGTATAGGAAGAGCATTTCGAAGGAAGCGAACGTCTTCACTTGACATTTTATCATCTAAACGAGCTCCTCGTGGTTATTACAAGGGCAAGAATTGCAAGCCTACTGGTTTCCACACCCGCAAAGGTTGTTTCTTCAATTGATGTTGAAGTTTACTTTTCTTGTAGTAGTAGTCTTACTTTGATTTTTAACCTAGTTGAATGATATTGTTGGTCAACCTCACCTAATGGGTCAAGGCTTTGTTGTTAGTACTAGTCTGACTTCGACTTCTGTGTCTTTTTCCCCTTGATCACATGTCATGTTTTGTTTTTGAGGTACAGATGGGTTGTATTTATTAGTTTGGTAGTGGTAGTTACTGTTACTATTACTATTACTACTTTTCTTGCAAGTAGACAAGTAACATGTTGAACACCTGGGAAAGGGCTTGATCTTCATCGAAGATATTTTCTGGTTACACTTGCTGAATTGTTTCACCCCGTAACTATAGTTGTTGTAAATACAAATTTAAGGTGTATGTATGTGTGATGTTTTCTAGTGAAACTTGTGTCTTTTCTATTTCTCGCAAAAAAACATGGGACTTTGAAGTGATAGTCGAATTTCACTACACTGTGGCTTTAATTGACCAGGACTATAAGCAGCCCTTTGGTTTGATTGACTGAAATTACTTGCATTTCTATGACCAACTCTAACAAGTTGTGGCCTCCTTGTTCATAATTTGGATTGTTTCTCTTGTCCTGGATGTCTTTAGTTAGTAAACATGGCTTTATAAAAGAAACTCTGGATTCTTTACTGAAATTATATTTATAACTTTTGGGTATTGTAATAAAATAATTTGCCAAGCTATATATATATATATATATATTAATGTTTTTTATTGTTTACTGTCTAATAAAATGTATCTCTATATTGTTGCAGGTGGGTATGTATTGATGCAAGAAAAATTGCCAAATTATGTAGTTCCTGATTTGACTGATTTCAAGGTTTGCATCTTCCTCTCATATAATTTCATTGGTATCTTTGTCTTTTATTCACCTGTTTTTATTCAACATGTTAATTATGCCGACATTTACGTAGATAACTTCTTTATTCAACTAATTGCTTCGTTAATAATGAATTTGACCTTGTTCCTTTGATGCCTCTGTCTTGAGTTTTATTATTATAGCTTGACTCACTTACGGCTTATTAAACTTTTCTTCGTCTTCCTTAGACAATGGCAACAACCATGGTGCTTTTATCTTATTAGTACTTGTCTTAATTCCATGGACATTGTTATCACTCTTATCAATCCTGAACTACTCTACCATTAGATAGGTCTGAAGAAGATGCCTTCATCTTTATAGAAATGACCGTGAGTTGTTATGCACAATAGTATTTCTCTTCATGAATGACTAGGGGTCAACAATTTCTGCAAAGCTAACACTACTTTGAATTTAGTATTTCTCATGCATAGCTGATTCATATAATCCCTTCTTTTTTTTGCAGCTCAAACCATATGTATCTCAGTGTCCTATAGAAGTCAAGACTTCTGAAACTTCCCAAACCGGCTAAACAACCAAAGTGGTATAAGATACTTCTTTGTAACTGCAGATATTTTTCCGTGAAGAGGAAGAGGAGTTGCCATGCCCTTCGTTTTGTTGTTTGTTCTCGCATCTTTAGAACTAAACATCTTCAGTTATTGACCGGCATAAATATTTGATATTTTTATTGGATATTATTCTATCAATATCATTCGTATATATATATGCGATGAATCATTTGGACTATCAAAATTATCAATAAATTCATGTCTATATTTTGATTATGTTTTTGGATGGGCGGATGGAGTTTTTTTTTCATTAATGAAAGAGATATCTCAAAAGGACCCAAAACACTTTATAATTATTTGCATACTTATTTGAAGTGATAATTTATCCTATACATGCTTAGACTCTTAATAACTAAAATTCAAAGAACAAAATTTGTACTAAAATAGAAACTTCCCTTGAAACTTTCGAAACAATAAAGTATAACAATTTTTTTTAACCCAATTCTAATTAATAGGAATTTGTTTGTTTATTATTTTAAAAATGATTTTTAATTTATTAATTTATAAAAATTAAAAGTTTTGTTTGAAAATTTGTTTTATTAAAAAAAATCTATAAATTGAATAAAATCTATTTTAGAAAAAAAATAATAAAAATTAAAAAATGATTTGATAACTTTGTATATTGTAATATAATTATTAGTAAAAATAAAAATATCATCAATAAAAACCAAAAAATAAAAATAAATTTTATCAATTTTTTTAAACTAAAAAATAAGTATACTTATTAAATAATTTTTGTCGATTTATTTTTCAAAATTAATTCCTAAAATGATTTTAAAAGACTAAAAAAAAAGTAAATTCAACAAGTACTTATTGTCATACAATAGAAAAGGAAATGAGAAATGATGAACATGTTAAATAAGTTGTATCGAAATTTTAAGTGTATGCTTTCTGTAAATTTGACTTTTGAGAAATTGTCTTTAATTAAAAAAGTAAATATTAAAAATAATGAATAATTAATAATTTTTAAAAAATAAATAGATTATATATATTATGAATAGTAAGAACTTCTTAATTTATGATGGATGGTGTCCTTCTTACTTGTAACAGTACGATATCTTTCCTTGCGTGATATTACTACTTGCTTACAGTTGGTTGGAATTTATTAAAAGAAGAGCGTTAGATGAGCAACGTGACTCACCAAATTTCTCATTTTCAATCAATTTTATATTTTACCAAAGTGCATGGCTAACATTGTGTTATGCTAATTTTTAATCACATAATTCTTTAAATAACTTTTCATACTTTTCTTCTTAATTTTAAAAATATTTTTTATTTAACGCAGGCAAAATATTATTATTATTAATAATGAAATAATTTATTATATTCTGTTGAAGTTATAAATTGTATTTAAATTTATTTGTATACAAAACAAACTTGAGTCTACACCACGGAACACACCTTGGAAGGAAAATATGCGAAAATGGCTGAATCTGTGAATCCAATTGATGCATTGACCAAAGGAAAGTGCACCTGCCACAACTCACAAATTATGTGAAGAATGAAACACAACTAATAAAAAATAATATGTTTGTAGTGAAATGTGCTAAAAATAATAATGACTTTTTAATGAAAATAGAAGTGAGATTTCGATGTTTTAACGGCGACGTTTGGTCGTTTACCGTGGTCCACAAGAGCAAGGTTGGTTTGAATTTCCACGCCGCCCCGCAAAAGAGGTTTGGCCTTTTCCACGTACTCAAGACTCATCACAACCACCGACTCAACGCACATGCATGAATCAGGGTCGTCCATTTTAACCTAAACCAGATTCCAAGTCATATTTTTCAACTTGAATACAAATACCGTCAAAAAGACCATTTTGAGGAAACTCCCATGAACTATCACGGAAACTGAAACACACCCTCACCCTACCACTTTCTCTCCTTCCTCCGTCATATTCTCATCTCATTCTCTATCTCTCTATATATCAACCACTTTCCCACACTCCATACCCTTCAACATGGCTACCCTTCCAAGACCACCCTCAAAACACAAGGACATCATTGGGAGGTTCATGCCCCATGCTCGCTGCAAGAACCACCCTAAACATCGCCAATCACCTGGCGTATGTTCTCTTTGTTTGAGAGACAAGCTTTCTCAACTTTCCTCACTCTCACCCTCTTCTTCTTCCTCGCGTAAAACCACCTCTATTTCTTCTTCTCGTTCATCTTCCGCTTCTTCTTCTGTCTCCTCCTCCTACTCCTCTTCCCCCTCTTCTTCTGCCTCCCCCACAACCCTTCCCTTTCCTTTCTCCCATCAACCAAACGCAGCCTCTAGTTCCTCCCTCCCCTTCTTTCTCTTCGCCGGCGGAGTCCTCAAAAGCAAGTCAATGAGCGTTGTTTCCTCCAGGAGGACAAGAAGAAGAAGAAGAAGAAGAAACGAAGGTGATGATCGTGGTAAGAAGAGTGGCTTTTGGTCCAAGTTGCTTCATCCCAAAAGCAAGAGAATGGAGGAGATCAAAGGCACGAAGCTGGTTCATACTACGTCTCTAATACAAACAGTGGCATAGTGCATGTATCCATTCATCTCAACTTAATCAGTGAATTCTTTCTTTCGTTTCTTAATCCCACCCTACAAATTTTGAGTGGATTAATTATAAGTGTTGTTGAATATCAATTAATTACTCTCCATATATCTCTTTCACTTTTCCTTTCTTCAAAAGCAAGAAAGAAAAATAGAGATCTTGTGTTGCATGATATATGCCGTAAATGAACACTTTTTGGATCATTGATGAATATGCATAACCACATGTACGTATGGTACGTATATATTAAATTGTACACGGATCAGTAGGAGAGAATAGATTATTCCCTTTAGATCTGATTGTATCAAACTAGGGTTATAGATGTAATTTAGAAAAGGAGGGATGGAAGAAGCATAGTTTTTTATTGAGTCGAGCATGAACAAGTTTGGAGCAGAGAGACAGATATTGCTGGCATGACTTGGCCATATCGATCCATGGCTTTAATTGAGCTTCTGTTCTCATCAATTTATAAATTAATGCCCCACCCCAGTTGAAATAACATTTGTTTTAATATAAAATGAAAATAAATATCTCGGTCAAATGTCCAAAACATTTGTAAATTAAGGGATTGATGTAGTGAAAATATACACTGTTTCATGCAGAAAAATTAAGATTATACTTACTAATACTAATAGAATGTTTTAAAAATTTACTAGTAATTAGTAGCGTTTATTTAATGATTAAATTATTCTTTAAAAAATGTAAGTATCAGTTGTTTTTCCACAAAAATTATAAACTCTGTGACTTCTATTTCTTACTTACTTTCTCTAGATAAAAAATTAATTTCTGGTAAATTTTAAATAATAATAAACAGTATATCAAGATAAATGCGTAAAATACTTTACTAACACTCGTATTAGATTATTAAGTGAATAATCATTATTCGTATGAAAATTCTTATCATTTTTAGGGTTAACAATACATAAATAAATAATGATTATGAATCTAATATTTGAATGATGATAAAACCTTGCATACCTTTGGAGAGGGCAAGGTAAAGTATAGAAATGTGAAATTGACTTGTTGATGAGTCTAATTACAGTTTGAAGTATTCCTCTTAATAATTTTATTTTAGCCCATTAAATTAAAGATTACTTCTAAGTGGTTTTATGTGTTAATTTTCTCATTTTGCAACAAAATTCAATGGTGGCTTTCACTGTGTTCGGGTCCGAAACTTTGAATTTTCTACTTTAATTTCTTTACGCATACACAGAGATTAGTCATAATAGGAATTTTGTAACCCTAATTGACAGCTTGTAGATAATACTGGTGGGCCCATTGTATCTTCCTTCCTACAATTTTCTTTGCATCGTTGTAAAGTTCAAACATTGTCGCTGTACCTGTATTCACCGTAAAACACAGCTATGATCAATCCATCAGATATTTGGTCTGCAATAAAACAGAAATAAAAATTTGCTTCCCAACTAATTATTTGTAGGTCTAATTTTGTTTTATAACAGTTTGAATGTGCTTAGTGGTACTGATAGAAGTGGGTGAGTAGCATAACCCAATCTAGTTTGGGCTTATAAACATTTCAATCCAGCAAACTCCATTAAAATCATTAAGGAAAATGTCTATATAATTATTATGCAAATCACCTCTTGAGGATAAAGTAACAATAATACCTACTTATATATATAAAAATATATTTGTATCCCTAGCACAAAAATGAGTTTTTTACATATTATTTTGATATTTCAACGTGAAAACTAAAGGATATGAGAGAAGAGAGGAAGAAACAAGAGATATATTCTTTTATTATGTATGAAAGAGTAATACATTCTTTTTATATAGGTCAGAACACGTACATTAAATGAGAAGTAGAAAAATGGAAAAGTAACGGTCATATCATGAACAGTTATTATATTTGGCTTATTTACAAACACCAATACACCTCCCTAAGCCAAATTCACTTTTATGCTAGTTACACCAATTAATTTTCTCAGTATTTTAAACCTATCACCTTTTAATGTCTTTGTTAGTATGTCTGCACGCTGTAAATCAGAACTGCAGTATTCAATCTTCAAGTTACCATTGTTGACTTACTCCCTTATGTAATGAAATTTGGTCTCTATATGTTTACTCCTACCATGAGATGCTGGATGTTTTGTAAGATTAATTGCTGACTTGTTATCTACAAGTAGCTTCACTTTCTCTGTCATTTCCAATTTCAACTCCTTTATCAATGAACTTAGCCAAGCAGCTTGGCAAGTTGCTTCACAGGCTGAAACATATTCAGCCTCGCATGATGAGAGTGCTACAACTGATTCTTTCTTCGAAACCCATGATATTGGTGTTTCTCCTAGAAAGAAAATATATTCTGCTGTGCTTTTCCTGTCACTTTTGTCACCACACCAATCAGCATCAGCAAATGCAATAATCTTCAGATTCTCACCTTGTTTCACCTTAGGCAGCAAAATTCCAAAACCATGCGTCCCTTGTACATAACGTAAAACACGTTTTGCTGCATTTAGATGTGACACCCTTGGACTCTGCATAAATCTGCTGATAAGCCCCACACTATAACACATATCAGGCCTGGTATTACAAAGATACCTTAGGCATCCTACAATTTTCCTGTATTCAGTTGGATCTACAGCTTCTTCTTCTGGTTCCTTTTCCAGTTTTAATCCCACCTCTGTTGGTGTGCTAGCAGCATTGCACATATGCATCTCTAGCTTCTTCAACATATCATTTGCATAGCGAGATTGATGCATTACCAATCCTTCCTCATTTTCTATAAATTCAATACCTAGGAAGTAACTCAACCTTCCTAAGTCACTCATCTCAAACTCACGCAACATCTTGGCTTTAAACTCTTGTATCAACACATCACTGCTGCCTGTTACCAGTAAGTCATCTACATAGAGACAGACTATGAGCTTTCCTATTTGATTAACCTGCACGTAGACACCATGTTCAGAGATACATTTATCAAACCCGATACTGCTCATGAATGCATCTATTCTTTGGTTCCAAGCTCTCGGAGCTTCTTTGAGCCCATATAGAGCTATGTTTAATTTATACACCATATGCTGCTGTTTTTTTTTTCAAACCCTTGAGGTTGCATTACATACACTTCTTCTTCTAACTTGCCATTTAAAAAGGCTGATTTTACATCCAACTGATGTAAACTCCAGTGTAACTGAGTTGCAATTGACACCACCAGTCTAATGGTCTCAATCCTGGCAACATGTGCATACACTTCACCATAATCAACTCCAGCCTTTTGTAGAAAGCCCTTTGCCACCAACCTGGCTTTGTATCTGATTATAACACCTTGTGGGTTAACTTTAGTCTTGTACACCCACTTTAAGGCTATTGGCTTCTTCCCTCCAGGCAACTCAATTAATTCCCATGTTTGGTTCTTCTCGATTGACTCAATTTCTTCCACCATTGCCTTTCTCCACCTCTCATCGGTTATTGCTTGATCAAACTCAACAGGTTCAGATTCTGCTATGAGTGCATAGTGAACGAAGTTACCTTCAGCCGTGACAGTGGCATCATAAAACAGCTCATAATCTCTCAGGTGTGCTGGCATTTGAGCATTTCGTGAGGATCTTCTCAGTCTCTCACCATGTTGCTCACTGTCTGAAGCAGATTCATGAGAAGCTAGCTCATCCTCAAGCACAATTATAGATTCTCCTTGTTGAACTATCTTCTAGTTCCATGTACTCCCTTCATCCACTACCACATCCCTGCTAACAGTTACCTGACTTATTTCAGGATTGAACAACTTATAACCACCTGTTTCATGGTAACCAACTAGAATGAATGGTATGCTTTTATCATCTAACTTCTTTCTCAGCTCATCTAGAACATGTTTGTTACAGATTGCACCAAAAACTCTCAAGTGTTTAACACTTGGTTTTACCCCAGTCCACGCTTCTTCTGGTGTGATCTCCTTCAATCTTTTGGTAGGTGTTCTGTTTAGAATATACGTGGCTGTCATCACAGCCTCACCCCATAATGACTTTGACAAGCTTTTGCTCTTCAACATGCACCTCACCATATTTAGTATGGTTCGATTCTTTCTCTCAGTTGTTCCATTATGTTGTGGTGTATATGGAGGAGTCTTCTCGTGTATGATGCCTTCATCTTCACAAAATTTGTAAAACTCATGTGAAGCGTACTCCCCTCTTCCATCGGTTCTTAAAAGCTTCAACTTGCAATTACTCTGCCTTTCAACCAAGTGCTTAAATTTTTTAAACACCTCCAGCACTTCACTCTTTCTTTTTAGCAGATATGACCAAGTTTTTCGGGTCCAATCATCAATAAACACCACAAAGTACTTGTTGCCTCCTGGAGTTTCTACTTGAATTGGACCACATACATCAGAGTGAACCATCTCCAACTTCTCTTTTGACTTCAAAGGTAACAACTTTTGGAAACTCCCACGCATTTGCTTGCATTCCACACACTCCTTACATACTGAGTTTGGTATAGTAACCAAAGGCAGCCCCGTAACCATTCTGCAATGACTGAGTTTGGA